GATGGGATGTCAAAAAATATAATTCAGTCCCATCCCATCCCATGGTACACTTTTCAGAAGAGTTGCATCCCATGGGTCCCATGGGATGGGATGGGACCGTCCCGTCCCACGCGGAGCTCTGTTATGAACAACAGTAACTTTTTTCGATAGTTATTCGTTATAAATAACAGATAAATAACAAATAACTCTCTTTTCTGAAAACTCAGTTCACTGTTTATATTGATTATACCATGCGAATTAGTACTATTGAAGTTAAAAATTTGTTCTGTGGTAAAGCTCATATAACGGATACAAGTAAAATATTCAGCGAGCTGAGACAGAATCTCTTTTAGAAAAAAAAGTCATTTGTTATTTATCTGTTATTTATAACAATAACAATAAATTCACACCCCTAGTCTAAAGACTACAGCTCCCTGGAAACTAAAACAAATATTGCTTCATAAGTCTCTGGATCATCTTGTATTTTTGTTTTGTATTGTTAGAAGATATAAAATTAGACATCAGTATTAAGAAAATGCATTATTACAAAAAATGTTCAAATATGTTTATCAAATGTATTGTCTGCTTTCTTTTTTTAACTACGCGTGGAGAAAATACTACTCACTACGAGTTGTTTTTTTCCATTCTCTTGTTTTGAAATATCATTGTAAACTTGGTCTCAATGTCGATTTTTCATGGTTAAGATAAAAATTTTAAAAAAAGTAAAAATCAGTTTTATAAACATAAAACATGTTGTCTAACAATGCACTTTCTAAATGATAGTGTCGCTTGAGTACAATATATTTAGATGATAACTAAGATGTTTTTCTCAAACGCACATCTTATCTTATATCGGTTCAACTTTATATATTCAAAACACACTAGTGATATCTAACTATTTGCTATTTGCTTATTCGTCTCTGTTAAGGCAGTAAGAAAATCTAAAAAACTGAGAAAGAGCCTTTTGCGCGAATCGCTTGTTGGTCAATTACACGTATAAAAGATCATCATATACTAGGTTATTTAATGCTAAGAGTGGTCTCTTGTCATTCATCTATTTTTTCAATCGTCTTGTTAGCATTGTTATCGGCAGGATTGAGAAATAGGCAAAAGAACAGAGACAGTCTGATACGTCTGGTCAGTCCGTTGATTCACTCAATCCATCACAAACAGGGAACTTCTTGGGGGCGCTACATTTCCAGTCTATTTTTCGGAAATTTTAAGGTTAACAGTTTGCACTCATAAAGTGAGCTAAAGATTTTAGTCACTCTCGATTTCCCAGCCCAACTCGAGTTCACGACATCGTCAGCGATTGGCTGCTATTAGATGATTCATTCTAATTTTCACTATTCGTTAATTTTCGTATCAATGAAATAAAATTGCCAAAAGAAATAATTCTTTTATCTTTTAGATCAAATTTTCCATAAAAGTTTTCGATAGTTTTATTCAGAAATGTTTAAAACTCGGTATTCATTTTTTTGAAATTCACTCTGTTTATTTTAATCCAATCAAAATCGAGCGAGGCAAGCGTATGAAACAAAGAACTAAAACGAATTCGTTTTTTTCAACACTTGTCACTTTCGATCATGTGGCAATTTACGGAAACGTTGGGTGAAGGTGCCTATGGCGAGTATGTGAACTAATTTGTTTCGTTTTTAATTTTTTCACAAGTTTGAACATCTAGAGTCGTTCTTGCCAAAAATGTGAATACAAACGAATTTGCTGCCGTAAAAGTCATTGACATAAATCGATTGAAAGGCAACGATGTTGTCATAAGAAAAGAAGTATGAATTGTAAAATAAAGCTAATCATCGAAAAATATGCTGAACTTTTAGATTGATCTACATAAATTATTTCGACATGAAAATATTATCCGATTTTACGGTTATAAGCAACAGCATTCCAATTATTATCTTTTCCTTGAATATGCAGCTGGTGGTGAACTTTTCGATAAAATTGGTTCGATCTTACACGCGAGGAATTACTTGCTTGACTAACTTGATTTCTATTTTTAGAACCTGATGTTGGAATGCCAGAGTATCTTGCACAACACTATTTTAAACAAGTTGTGGCCGGAATGGTGAGAAATGATTTTAAAAAAATACGAAAAGAAATAATTTACTAGAATATATTTTAGGCTTATCTTCACAGTCTTGGTGTTGCACATCGAGGTTTGATAAGAAACTGCTTATCGTTTTTGTTTCTATATATATATTTTCTTGCTCACTTAGATCTTAAACCTGAAAATCTTCTCATAGCTAATAATAGTGAGAGGAGAATTGATTAGTTTTTTAAATTTTTTATATATTTTTATCTATTAGATGCACTGAAGATTTGTGACTTCGGTTTAGCTACACTTTTTCGTAGTCAGACTACAAAAGAAGAACGAAAATTAACTACGTACTGTGGCACAGCACCATATTCATCTCCAGAGGTAATTTTCTCATTCGGCTTATCTGAGTTTGTTTTTAACGATTTCCGATCATGCATTCGTTAATTTCCCGAAAAACAAAAGAAACAGTATACAAAGACTTGCGTGAGAAATATTTATCTGTCGAACTAAAGATTACTATAAATCACTATGAGTGTAATAATTTATTCGATAGAGATACATACTTGTCGACTATACTATTTTCCATAGTAAATGCGACGTTCTCAAATGACCTAATCGATTGTTTTCAATAGATCAGTCCACTACCAGAGGCGTAATCAATCAGGAAATACGTGATTGAAAAAGCATCAAATATAAATAAGATAATCTCGATGACTATCTTATGCTATCAATGGATTATTTCTAATAATGTTTTGTTTTAGGTATGGGCGAAAACACCGTATCGAGGTGAACCGGTGGATGTATGGTCGTGTGGTATTATTTTAACTGCAATGCTTACTGGAGGTAGATTTTGCTTTTAATAAAAATTTACGTGTTAGATCTTTTGTTAACTATTTTTAGAATTGCCATGGGATCAACCGTCTTATCAAAATCCTGAATATAAACGTTGGTTAGATCGTGATTATTACCACAATCCATGGAAGAAAATTGACAATATGATTCTAAGTATGAATACTCTAGACTATTTCGGTCAAATTCATGTGTACTTTTCTTTGTAGATCTTCTTCGTCGAATTCTTGTTCACGATCCAGCACAACGTGCTCGAGTTATCGATATTCAAAGCCATAAATGGATGTCGAAGATCTACTCACAAGGTACAATTTCTTTTGAAGGAATTTTATATATTTCAATTATTCTTTAGATGGTACAGAAACCGATCATCAGTTATTGAAGCGAATGGCGTATGTCATATATATTTAGTTTTTTGACAGTCATATACTTTTTTTTAAAATTCAGAGTCAAATACGACGAACCATGCTGGTCATTAACACAGCCCAATCAAAGTACAACGTCAACGGTTATATCACCATCGATTTCAGATGATTCAATGGTTAATTGTATATCCCAGCCAATTAAACTCGATGATCTTATTTTGATCACAGAACCGAGATCACTTACAGAAATGGGTGATGTAAGTGAAACCTTCTTTCTTTACTTGGTTTACTATCATAAATGTAATTTTTTAGCAAGATCCATCGGAACATCTTGTACACCGTATGACAAGAATTGTATTAGCAATATCGTTTGATGAAACAATTTATCTGCTCAATCGATTATTTCTTCATACTGGTTATACACCAAAACGTACAGCAGGCAATCAGGTAAAGATTTTTTTCAATGCAAACTTTTTGTTTTAAATTCATTCGATTCGTTTTCTCTAGATAACTGTTGTTACGCAAGATAAACGACACACTGAATTGATATTTAAAGTGAACTTATTCAAAATTCCAGATGCGAAAATTATGGCCGATTTTCGTTTATCAAAAGGTGATGGTATTGAATTTAAACGTAAATTTGTCGAAATTCGGGAACGTCTTGTTCAATTGGCAACGGCATGGTCAAATGGTGGTGGTGGTTCAGCTTATTTTAATCATTCAGATACATCATCAACATTAACTGTTGGAAATAACAGTGTTAATCAATTACAAGAAGCAATGGATACATAGATTAAAATTTATTATTTTTCTTTCATTTGTCTCTGATGTGTTTGCTATATTAAAGAAATAAATTGAGTTTATTCTTCATACGCATTCTTGTTTTGCAACAGAGACCGACATTTTCTTCCGTGGAATTCTAAAAAATAGACTTCTTATGTTAATACATGATAGCCTTTAATAAGTTTCAATCATAGATATCTGAAAAATCAGTCCCGGAGTACAACAAGTTGGTTCAGAAATCTCTATTGTCAGTTAAATTTGAAATGTGAGACGACTGAATTCTAACCTGGATAGAACAGATCTAGGGAATTAAGCCTGGTCCATGTGAAACATCTTGCAATGAGAAAACTTCTATTTCTGAATGACAATAAATACCTTTAAATCTATATATTTGTTTTTAATTTAAATTTATAATTATCCTCATCTACTTCTCTCTTCTCTAAAGTCCACCGATTCGGTGCGAAACAGAATCGAGATCATTTTGGCACATATATACGATCCTCAAAATACATCAAGAGAGAAGAAGAAAAAAAAACTAAACAAAAAGAAAATAATATCAGAATAAAATCTCGCAAATACACATGAACACATATTAATTCTGACTGGTAATTCCACGAGCAGAACAGTAAGACGAAGAGAAAAAATATATATATATGTACGATTTGAATTGCTAACGCACCAACAACAAACGAAAAGGCAAATATATTGATGTCTATATGTCTGCGGTGTACGTCTGGGACAAAGAGTGAAGTAGAGAAAAGAGAAATACAGAACCAAATGCGCGTGCACACACACATTCATTTGTCAAGAGTATAAAATATTACACATACTCGTATATACAAAAAAAAGAAGAAGATACGATGATAGAGTGTCTAGCGCAAACAAAGAAGATTTACCATACATCAATGATTTTCTTTCTTTTATCAAATTCGTTTGTTAAAAAGAAAAGAATAATAACACACACACACACACACACATACAATTACCGGTTCAATAAAGCGCACCGATTTGACTAATAGACATAAAAGAGAAATATGAGATCGACAATTTCAAAAAGAATAAATACGACATCAATTTAAATTAAAAGGTCCTTGTACTTTGAGAAACTAAATAGAAAAATAATTCAATGAAATTTTAGTTTTATTTACAATTTTCTATTTTACTTGTATCACGAGAGAAGGCCCGCCCGCTACTATTTCTTGTGGTAAACTTCTGAGTGGACAATTTTCGATGCTCATTATTTGTAAATTAGTACATAATGCTAATTCATAAGGAAGTACATCCAAATTTGGATTATCATTAATATAGAGTTGCTCTAGCTTTTCTAATTGTCCTATGTCCTCAGGTATTGTAGTCAAATTATTTTCACCAACATTTAGATGAGATAAATTTGATAGAGATCTATAGAAAAAAACACGATGTATATACAGTAAAACTTCTCTAATGCGAACACCCTTGGGACCTTTGAAAAATGTTCACTGTACAGAGGTGTTCATAATATAGAGGCGACATGCATTTGGCTACAAAATGAAAAAACGCCTAAATGTCTGTCGCTACACTAATCTTAAGTTAAGTAGGAGTATTTATTATCTTACCCATTTATTTTCATTTAAATGCTTATTGTTAAAAACGTTTTAAATAAAAGACTGGGTTTAGTGGTGCTTTAAAAAGTCTTCTAATTTTGCTTGTTTTTTTTGCTTTCGAATGAATATAAACATCAGTTAGTTTTGATTCTAACTGGCTAATTAATTGATGTAATTGTGATTCTTGTGTTGTTGCTAGTAAATGAAGTTTGCTTAGCATTTCCATTGCTTCCATTATTTTTGGTGGTGATTCTGTTGGTATTCGATCATCATCGTCATCATCATCTTGTATTTTAATATCACATGCTACAAGATGTTCGCAATTATCAAACCATTCATTATATGCAGGTGTATCATTATCAATACCAATGAAATCAACTGCGTTCATTGTTTGACCATCAATTGTTACATGTTGCAATAAGTCATTTAATTTTTCTAAATCTTTAGATGGTCCATCATCTATAGGTTCTGTGCTATCTGCTGATGATGCTAATAGATCATTAGTTAGTCTATTCTGATACACAATGCGTGATTAACTGTAGTGCATAAACGACAAACGATAAAAAATAGGTAGAGAGAGGAAGAAAAAGTGCACATGTGTTCACATTAGAGAAGCTATATTAGCTGGATGGACCCGAAATGAGCGTTCATGTTCAGGATAGCGAGGTGTTCATAATATAGAGGTGTATTTCCAGCAAAAATCGCTCTGTGGGACCCGGGTAGCGTTCAGAGTGAGGGGATTTCACTATAGAGGGGTGTTCAGTAAGGAAGTTTTACTGTATTTAGAAGTTGGCTTTGCGTTTCTTACCCAATGGAACGCGGTAATTGAATCAATTGATTTGATGCAACGATCAATCGGGTTAATTCACGTAAATAGCCTAAGTAAAAGAAAGTTATTTAAAATAAACATCTATCCATTTATATATAATCGAGTCAATTAACTTACCTATTTCCTGAGGTAATGAATCAAGCTTGTTTTCTTCAAGATCTAAATGTCGTAGTTTCCTTAGTTGGCCTAACGAAGGAGGGATTCTCTATAATAGAAAATAAATTATATTCAATCCAATCGTAAATAATGTATTGAACTACAAAAGTTCAAACGGAAATTTTATAGGTCAAGAATAAGTAATTATGATGCATAAAAAAGTATCCATTTGAAATAGTGAGAATGTAAAGAATTGCTTTTTATATTACAGGAAAAAATAATATTTGCTAATGATAGCAAATACACCCGCACATATAGTCGCTAAACGATTCCGGAAATTTTAATTAGTGACTGAAGCGATTTCCACATAAGCTCTTTTATGACGTACATTTAGTTTTTTATTGATTGCCCGAAGGTGAAATATGAAAGTTATTCTTATACAAACATTAGTCGTCACTTCATTTTGCTTGAAATTAAACATTTTAAAATCGATATTTATCATTAATGATTCATTAAATTTCTTCTTCTTGATAAACGATTACTCTTAAAAGATTTATCCTGCAAAGTTTGTTGTCTGTTACTTTCAATTGATTAAATTAGCTGAACTGTAAAAATGTCGACAAACCTCTTCAATCCCGATAATCTTTCGTTTATCTTTATTGAATTTAGCTAGCTGATTCGAATGACTAATTCTTGGCCGATAACATAATATGCATTCACCGTAAATCTTTAACTACATGTTTAGGTCAATGCATCATCGCCTAAGGGTAACATATTTTGTATAGCTAGCTTGAATATTGTTCATACTCTAAAAAGTAAATACTCTATCCGAGTCTCATAACTGTGTTCATGAACAACTTAGAAGAATAATCTTAGAAGCACAATAAAATCTGAATTCATGATCTACAAATTGGTCCCCAAATACTGTGAAAAACACTCAACATAAGAAAAAAAGTAAATGTGGCATTCCTTTTTTAAAGTAATGCAAGGCTATTCTCTGCCTTTTCATCTTTCGTCATCGGAGTGCTTATTAATTACAATACAAATGTTTCTGATTTATTCTATAAAGCCCTGATTTATTTGTCAAGTGAATTTCATGAATACTGTTGTATAATTCATCAAATTTTATTACAACAAAGCTTTTGAAATTAGAGCCAATATTAGCAATTATATTTAATGAAAAAATAAAATAAAATAGATTTTCAAATTACCGCGCATGTTGATAAGTGCATTATCAATATCAAATATTGGTTGTACATTTGCTAATATGATCATGAATTAGTTCACTTGAATGTAAACAAAGTCGATTAGCCATTTCTTGTAAAACAATAGTACATAGATGACAGATTTAATTTCAAATAAAAATTAAGTATAATTCATTGATAGACATTTTCTAATTAGGAAGAAAATCTTTTTATTGATGATGGCATTTGTTTTGAAAGTTTAATTGTTCGTTTTTCATATGATCTCGGACTATTCAAGCCAGTCATTAGGGTGTGGGTGTGAATGGCACTCCTAGTGAACACATCTACTAACGCCCAGGGTCAGACCCTGTCAGTCACATCGATGATCTCATGAAAAAGTCAATGTAATTAAGTATTCTCAATGAAGAAAACACATTGCTGCGAATGTGTGTATATGATACTTTGAGTTCAAAAATTTATTTTTATTTCTATTCAGTAGATATATGGATATAATTTGCTAAAGAACATTTGAGAAGGAATTCAATTGATTGCTGTAGATGAATCTTTTGTACTTCCACTATAAAAAAAAAGCGACTCGATTGATTATATCTGACATGATATACACAACAATCAAAATTAACAGCGCACAAAACATCTAACGAAAAAGTGAAAAATAACTATGAAACGAACAAGAAAGAGATATGAAAAGGTAAAGAAATTAGTGCCACTGCACAAATGTTCACAATAAATTCGTACGCATAGCGATCTTTTTTACTTCGTAGTATTCATCGAAGCCATAGTCATTAAAATTTTTCTTGCCACCAGCGTGATTGTATCTTCCGAATGGTAACAGATTAATAGCATCATCATATTCATTAATCCAAACAGTGCGTGCTTGTAAACGTGAAAGAAGAAAATTTGCTTGCGTATTTTCTTTTGTTATCACGCCAACAGCCAAACCGCATTTTGTATTGTTTACTCGTGTAATTACCTCATCGTAATCATGATATTTCAATAGACTCATTATCGGTCCTATCGCCTAGAAGAAACAGCTTTCTAGATATCAAGTTTATTTAATGATACTGAACCAACCTCATCACTTGTTATGTCCATGTCATCAGTGACATTACTAAATACTGTCGGTCGAATAAAAAAACCGTTTGTTCCAAAACGTTCTCCACCGCACTCCAGTTTCGCTCCTTGTTTTTTACCAGATTCGATATATTTTATAGTTTTCTGGAATTTTTCATCGTTTATTTGAGGCCCTTGTTCAGCTTTTGAATCGAACGGATCACCTACCACTCGTCGATCAGTTAGTTCAACACACTTAATAACGAATTGAGCATAGATTTTTTCATGAACAAATATTCTTGATCCAGCAAAACAACTTTGAGCAGAATCTGCAAATATTGTACGATGGGTTAATTCTACAGCAGAGTCGACTAAAAAGAATAATACAATACAGAAGATCAAGAAATTGATCAGACTAATCTCGATACTTACGATCAGCACCTTCACAAATAATCAACGGACATTTTTCACGTAATTCTAATGAAAAACGTTTCACATTTGATTTTGCAGCTAATTCTTGAACTTTTCCACCAACCTAGAATTAAAAACCGTTTTAAACAGATAAGAATGAGCTATAAATAAGCAACTACATACCTCGACTGAGCCAGTAAAAAAAACTTTATCGATTCCTTCATGAGTGACAATGAATTGACCACATTCAGAGCCATTACCTGGCAAAATGTTCACAACACCAGGAGGAAAGCCAGCCTGAAACAACGAAGATCAGAACGTTTTTGGAAAAGAGCCTTCTTTTTGCCAATATTATACTTCTTTCAGTAAACTTGCACAATACAAAGCAGTTAATGGTGTCTCTTCGGCTGGTTTTAAAATGATTGTGTTTCCTAATAATTGAAGAAAGTCATAAATACTTCTTAATACAGTGACGTTCGAAACTTGCCACAAGCTAAAGCTGGACCCAGCTTCCACGCCAACATCATTATAGGATAATTCCACGATATAATTTGCCCAATAACACCTATCGGTGCATGATAATAGTGCACAAATGAACCTGTTCGCGTTTCTGATGTTTCATTCATTATTTTACCTACCAAACCGGCATAATAATCAATGCAATCGGCCGAAATTGTAATGTCCATTTTATTCTCTTTCAATGGTTTACCATTATTCAGTGTTTCTAATTTCTAAATGATAAAGAAAAGATAGACAAAAGAAAACGTTTTGTTAAGTTGTTATAAACGAACCGATAAATAATCAATATCACGTCGTAGATATTCGGCAAATTTTCTCATTAGATCAGCACTAAAACAAATCCATCAGCACTTTATTTAAGAAGGAAGAGTCTTTGTTGACATTTTACCGTACGACTGCCTTCATTTTCCTCCACTCAGAATCGTTACGAAATGCATTACGAGCAGCTTTAACCGCTTTGTCGACATCAACCTACAAGAAAAAAAAATGTTTCTTACACGTTCCCTCAAAGTTAGGTTGGACAACTGTTTACTTTTGTTGATTCTTCAACTTGGCAAATTTCCTCGCCAGTTCTTGAATCACACACCGCAAATGTCGTGTGTAACTCGGCATTGTGCCATTCGTTATTAATAAAAATCTAGAGAAAAAGAGCACAAATTTTGAGTTATTAATCGCTTCAGTATTCAATGAAGTATCTTACTTTTGTAAATTTTATCGGTACAGTTGTTGAGCACACGTGAGAACTGTAAAAAAATAGATCTTATTGATTTAACTGAACCTACAAGACCAAAGGAAGCTAATTACTTACTTGTTTTGTTTATAAAGATAAGCTATTTCGTTTTTCAATTCACTATTCAATAGATTGCTTTCATGATAGTTCAAAAATGGCATTAAATAATGTTTATATTTAATTACAAATGGACGTAATTCTTCTTCACACAAAATAGACTTCGCATAAAGCAGTGCAAATCCTTGTTTTGTAGTATTCAACCAATAATTGCATTGTTTTGTTGGTGAAGCACCGAGATGAACACCAGAAAAAAATTCGACGTTCTTTTGTTTTAGTGAAGGATCGAAAGTATGATATTTCACAATTGGACCACCGCTAAACCCCGGCAATGTTGGTGCCGTATGCGTATCAATTTGATCATCCTGTGTAGTTAATGATGTTATAACTCCAATCGATACAATACGTTGAACAAAATTACCCATAGTGACTCGTGTTTGTTCATAAATAAGCCGTAAATAATCTTGTTTTTCATTGTCATTCATTGTCTTTGATTGTTCTGCACTAAATACATATAAAGATGAAAATTGTTCTAGATTATAAAATGCCGGATAACCAATAACAAAACAGGAACCATGTATAATTGACGGATATGGAAACAAGATTGGAGTTCGATCAAATGGTAGTATTGTGGACGATTTTTGTTTCAATATAATGATATTCATTTCCGACCATTCCTCTTTCCCCGACAGTGTTCGAAATCGTGACTTATTATCATTAGTATAATTGTAAAACGTTTCAAAATTAGGTAAAAATAGTTCAGTTAATCTAATTAGATGATAAGCATCCTGTTTACAATAGCTTAATATTAGATCAATATCTGTGTGTCCATAACTATCATCAATATAAATACGAGCTAATGTATACTCATTATATGAATTCACAATCGGTTCGATAATTTCATTCATCAGTTGAGGTGATTCACGCTGAATATGACGTTTTGGAACGATAGAATGTAAAGTTGTTAAAAAACGATCTGGTCCAATTCGGCTCGCCGATGATGTAAATAATGCCATATTACCAGGATCATTGTCATTAATATAAATTGCTAATAAATGTAACACCGATGGCCAAACTGACTCAATTTGTAATCGGTGGTTTTGTTCATTTTCTGTTGGGCATGGTACTAAATGTCCATTATCTCGATCATAGCGTAAAACTGTGCCATATAAATTACCTTCTTGATCATGAAACATTCCCTCACAACGTCCTAAAACTGGTACTTTTTTATGCTCGACGTATTCTCCAACATCATCACTCGATGAAGATTTGTCAATTTCCATCATTAATGAAAGATTAAATCTGAAAGACGGAAAAAGTAAACTATCGTTCACTGCCAAATACCAGAAATACAAAATACTTGTCAGCTAATGAAATCATATCAGCATTCATAGTCCACATTATTGTAGTTGAATTATGATTTTTCACAGAATATAAACATCGAAGCATTTCATTATCTTCCATCTGACGGCTACCCAGTCAGACAAGCAACGAAAAAAAGCGTCGAAATTTTAACGAAAATAGAATCGTAAAAGCTCACATTTTATTTTCGTTCAAGATATACGGTAAAAATTACTCTACCCTTAAACATCTCATCTAAAGTAGGACTGAGAAGTTATTGTTATCTTGTTATTATTAATAACAATAACTATTTTTGTTATTTGTTATTTATAACAATAACTTTTTTTGTTATTATTATGAACCAGAGCTCCGCGTGGGACGGGATGGGACGAAAAAAATCGTCCCGTGGGATAGATCGAAACATTTCGTACCATGGGATGGGCTAGAGATTTAAAAAAAACCATCCCATGGTATGGTACAGTCTTCGTAACTGTCCCATCCCATGGTATGGGACACAAAAATGTTTCGTCCCATCCCATGATCCCATGGGACATATCAATAATCATATATCCTTTTAGACATCACATTTATGCGAGTACTTATCGAGCTACAGAAACGATGATTCCATATTATCTTATCGTATGTTCATAATTTTATTATTATCAAGTTCACAATTCTTTTTTTACTTTCATCATCAAAAGTACATCAGTCTCACACATAGGAGGCAGAGCCATTAGGCTTGGGGAGGCTCAAGCCTCCCCTAAAAACCAATTGTGGAGGCTTAGGGAGGCTCAGATATTTGAAAAGAATACAGATTTCGTCGTGATTTACTTAACTTACAATATATTAGGAAATCTGTTTCACGAATATTGTAAATTATTGCATTTATAGCTAAAAAATCTCACTTCAACGGCTAAGGCTCAGAGATGCTTCAGTGTTATAAATGGAATAAAGACATCTACGATCAATAATGACACAACAACACTTTAATCTTGCCTTTATTTCTCATATTCATTCAGGAAAACTAGATCAGTTAGACATGAAGAGCATTTGTTCTGAGTGTATTGCAAAAAACTAGAGAAAAGACGTTACTGGGTATGAACAATAGTTTTTGTACTTATGATATGTTTGCTTTAGTCAAAGTTTAAGATTTTTTATGCTGATGTTGATAAGGAAAGAAAAATTTTGATAACATAGCCCCTAGTCGAGAATCACCTAATGAATCCCCAGGCAGTCCCGGCCGTGAGTCCTCGGCGAGTTAAGAAAAATTTGAAAACTTTCTATCGAGACTATCAAAAACCTACGTAAAAATTCGAAAGTATCTTCGAAAATTCGTAAGGGATTTCTAAAAAATGACTGGAAAGTGCCATAGAAATCTCGAGAAGTGAACAGAGAGTTTCTTGGAATTTCTAAGACACTCTACACTCAGTTTTTAGAAATCTTTTACAAAGTTTTGAAGACACTTCCGGATTTTTACGTAGATTTTTGATAGTCTCGATAGAAATTTTTCATATTTTTCTTAACTCCTCGGGAACTCATGATAGGTCCTTCTAAAAAATCCAAAATTGGTGGGGTCTCTGGGGATGCGTTATGTGATTCTTGACTAGGAACGCAATTTTCGATTGTTCTGCAGTCATATAATTAAATGGATCAATACAGAAAAATTTTTCAATTAAAGTTGTGACAACGAATTTTAAAAGTCTATCTTCTCTCCAAATGTCGACTTTTTATCGTTCGTTGAAAAAAATTTGAGTCTACCTAAATTCAAAACGTTCCGCCGCTTATGATCTCACAATAAATACAAAATATTACAATATATGACAACATAGGAAAAAACAAAACAACACAAAAAAAGTGAAAATAGTGTTTTTAAATACAAAACAGTTAAAAAAAATATTATTAACCCTTTCCGGCCGGCTGTTTGAAAATTCCCGTACCCCCCTAGAGGAAAATGTTGCCATTTAGCAACACCCGGCCGGAAAGGGTTAAAAATGTAGAAAAGTCATTCTTGTACATCATGGCACAAATTTCATATTTTCCATAGACCGAATGAATAGAATATTGTTGACTTGTTAGGATCCAATGGAGTTCATGGGGTATGTGAATTTGCGGTCAATTCAAAATGCTTATATCGCTACAGATTTTTATTTTGTCACAAATAGAGATGATTTTAATGAATTCGATTTTGCCGCAAATTCATATTCCCCATCATATGTCTACGTCAAAGTAATTGCATGTCGCAAAAATTTAGTGTATTTATCAATTGATTCTGTCCCGTGGGACGAGATACAAGTTTTTAGTCCTATGGGATGGGACGGAAAATTGTTAGTACCATGGGATGGGATGTCAAAAAATATAATTCAGTCCCATCCCATCCCATGGTACACTTTTCAGAAGAGTTGCATCCCATGGGTCCCATGGGATGGGATGGGACCGTCCCGTCCCACGCGGAGCTCTGGTAGGCACTCATTGAATTTCATAATATGTGTCTGTAATTGAAGAAAATGCTTTGAAGCGCTCCTGTAACAGAGAAAATCTTTATGTAATATTTATCAAGGATTTTTATTTCGCTTCGGAAAATATTGATAATTTGCTCGCAACTATGATTTCATTCAATGTCATAAAAGTGAAACTTTAATTTCGTTTTAGTGCAACACCAATCATATCTTCTGTTCAAGGGTCCTGCTATAAAAACATATCGATATTCGAATCGAATTCGCCATATATTATTCAAAAAATGGGCGAGCTTGTTTGCATAGACTATCAGCGATGTTTGTCAAATTTGCTCGAAGTTGATTCAGTAGAAAAAGACGAATTTTCTTTTGAGTTTAGTTATTGGAAGTCAATACTATCAACAACCAAACATTCAATCATTGGATCCAAGTTTATTTCTAAGAACGCTGAATACAGAAGATAGTGTAGTAGCACCACCTTCGTTACAAACTACTAGTACTGTCTATCAAGTAAGATATACTTTCTACGTCATTGAAATTCCATGCAGATTTTACTGAAAACAAGACGCTTAAAAGTATTGAGGATCAGTACCCATATAAATTTTGTTAATGGCTCATAGAAAGATATGAGTAAAATGTCTTGATGAGTTTTCTCATGATAAAAGTAGAAAAAACAATTATACTAGTCATGACTAACATTTCATCAGTCAATGGCAGTAAGTGAATTTTAAGGAACTTCACTAATATGAATTACACTGGTTGGATATTAGGAAATTTTCCAAGCAATATCTTGTGTTATGGCCAGTATATCACTATGTTCTTGCCAGTGATTCATATCTTCGTTAAAAATCGCTAGAATTATAGAGCGATACAATGTATGGATTCTTTTGTGTAACAGAATTTAATTCTGATCGGTGAAACGCTCGGTCCTAATTTTCGCTATTTGAAGTCATTTACTGATATATTTTCTAAGAAAAATATTCATTGTTCTAGGTCGGTTCATCCATACTGAGTTATAATACAGCTCGAAGTGCACTTAGCTACCTTTCTTTACCAGTGAGTCTATTCAATAATCCATTGTGTTCGGGATCGCAAACGATCAGTATGTACTTTTGATTAATAATAACTATTATTAATTGCTTTCATCTAGCTTATATGAATGATTTTACGTCAACATGCCGTCAATTGGTATCAAATAGTACATGCAACAACGCTTTGAATCCAATGACATATTTGAATGCTCTCTGTCTTATTCAAGTAAATAGAAATCATAATAACGTTATACATTTTATCTATATTGTAATTTTCTTCTTGATTTTCAGTCTCCGTCACAATCCTCTAGTATGTTATTTGCATGTTAATACTTCTAAAATAATGTTTTATATTGTATATAGACGCTACAGGACGTATTGGTGGCTGTACAACTCTTGCTTCTTCAAGTTTTACTGGAAGCACTTGTACAAGTGCTCTTAAAAGTGTAAGATTACAAATATATATCCTCGTCCCGAAAAACAAAAGCACGACACTTTTTAGTTAGCTGTTCAAATTTTGTATTCCAATCCAACTGGAATAGTAAGTGTGAATGTCACCCCTATATACCGTGACGCATCGATTACTACATCATACGAACAAGCATTCACAGTTCAATTTATTGAAGTAAAATCTGCACTCAATTACGTATAAGAAAATAACAGCTTTGAATATCATTTCTTTCTCAGAACACTCCATCACCAGCGCCATCAAACGCAATACGTAGTCCAGGCTATCTTCAAGGTTCTAGCATTGCAATAGTCACCGTAAATCGTTCTACCATCCAGTATGAATTCAATTTACTGTGTATACTCATCAACAAGAAAAGAAAGCTTTTTTTATTTATAGCACAATGAGTTCTTCACAATTTTCAATTCTCAAACCATTATCGGACGGTTCTTGTGGTGTAAATAGTGCAGGTATACCAATTGTTTTTGGCGAAAATGTTCGTTCCACATGTACATACAGGTATGATACTCAGTCTCATTTTTTCTGTACAAAGTTTCATGGCCAAATTAAATAGCATAGATTTCTACAAGAACAAAAATATTTCTTTTCTTCAAATTCAATGACAACAATATATTAATTTCTTTCTTCTCCTCTTTTTCTTTGCATACAGCACAACTACTACGGGGACTTGTCCTACTGGTTTATATTTTTTATTGATGCCTGTTACTTTACGTTCTCTTTATGTTGCCGCCTATAATTATTCAAATCCGACGAATGTTACCACTGACTGGTTACCTGTTATATCGTGTACATCCGAAATAGGATCTCCAAATACGGTTCAATGTCAAGATGGAATTCTATTAGATGGAGATTCGCCCACTCAATGCTATGTTAAATTGGATATTCAAATAGCTTATACGAACATTGGTTCTTTTTACAATCCACAACATACATTGAGTGCAGTTATCTTCAATTATCAAGTAGAAATAAATCAGCTTGTATTCAAATTTCATTTTGTTGATCTCTTTTGCTTCTATAGTCAGTTCCAAGTTCAAGTCTGACAAGTTCGTCATTTCTCGTGATGGAAAGTGTTACTTTTCAAGATATATCAGGTGCAACTGCTATTATAGAAGGCCAAATACCAACACCAGATACTAGTTTACCAGTCGATTTCTTCTATCCATTTTCTACAGGTCAAGCAACGAAATCTATAACAAACTCATTATTTTCTTATGTTTTAATTAGTATTCTTTTCATTCTCGTGTAGATAATGTCACTTTGAATAGAACACTATTGCTTTTTTTGTGTAATCTCTTAATGGTTGAAACCGATAGTTTTACAATTTGAGTCTTTTTCTGTTTTTATGATGTTTTAACATAGTGGTGGTTGCTTGGCAATCAATTGATTAACTTCTGCCATAAGCATTACTGGAGAAAGACTTTTTTTGCCATGTGACCAGTAATTAATTTATGCATTTTTATCGGAAATTTTTCTGCTAATCAAGACATACAGATACTTTAAAAAAATCACAATCTGTGTATAAAAAAACAATAAATATGAATTGATCTCTACTTTGCACTCGCTTGTAGTTGACACATCAATTCATAATACTTCAGGGGCAACAAATGTCAATCGAGAGAGATTGCGAAAGTTGCATGTGAAATGAAGTGAAGATCTCTAAGAAAAAAAAAACATCGCTAGACAATATCAAATGATCACTTCATGGGTCCGATCTGAACCACTATTTTACGAAATTTTGTTCAGAAATTTATCACTCATCTTGCTATTCAATGTGAAGTTTTCATTAACTGTTTCTCTGAGCTGTTTCACAATGCTGAATATAATTTCAATCTTTAAATTACTGTGAAGTGAATATTTTCTTATTCGTCGTCATTGTTCATAGATCAGTACACATATATTTATATTGCAGCAGCTGTTCTATCCATTTAAAATACTCAACATTGATATTCTTATTTCAACAGTACCACAGTGGCACTTAAAAATTTCATATTTTGAGAACATACGAAGTAGATCATCTAAGTGAAACTCGAACATGTTTTTAAAATAATTTCACGATGTGTTAAAGTTAGATTTGACTTAAAACTTACATATTTTCGTTTACAAAATTCAAACAGGCATCTTTTTCGGATTAATTTTATGTTTGTATTAGATACTTATAACGTATTTTCCAGCCTGTGCCATTATACGTTATCATATCTCGATGAAATATAAATATTTATCAATAAACCAAAGAACATTGTTTATGATTTCAATGCGTATGACTCATCGGTCAATTTTTTTATCGTCATACTTTGATAATGTTTATTAAAATAAAAATCTTCTTTTGATAAAACTAAGTAACGGCCAAAAAGAATAACTGCTTGCATTCAGCTTTTATAATTCATACAGAAATCGGTCAAGTTTAAAATAGAATTTTTTTATTAAGAATGCAATAATGATGTTAGAGGTAATTGTTTTGTAAGAATATCAATCTGTTCATTATAGTATTTTAATGATTGATTTTGTTCTCGTAATACTTTAATATGTTCTCGTAATGTTCCTAAAGCTTCTTCATGCAATTGTTCAGTTGTTTGAATAAATGATTCAATAGTTTTTTGATTATTTTCAAAATGTTCTTGTTCTTTATTTATATATTCTTGTTCACGAGTATTTTCTTCGAAAGCAAGTTCAATGTGTTCTATTGCTTTTTGAATATGATCTTCTTCTCCTTGTTCATTTTGTAGTTGCGTATCGAATTGATCTTGTTGAATTAGGTCATCAATATGGTTTGCTATTCGTTGATTTTCTTCATAGAGACGGTCAACAAGATCATGAACTTGCTGTGCATCATTTGTACTATTCGATGAAGTAACTAAAACTGATCGTGTATCATTAATGACAGATTCAAGATGAGATATTAGTGATTGACATAATTCATTATTGTCATCATTCGATGATTCACATACTTGACGTACCTGTTCCATATAATATTCAAAATCAGACATAACCTACAATATATATCATAAACGATGGATTTATCTATAGAGCATATAAATTACAGATGATAGTTGACCAATATGCCGATGAATATCGATTTGTTTTCGTTGTAATTCATTTACTGAATAACGTAAAACCTCCAGAGAAGCTGTTTGATCATCGTTCATATTTGTTGTGATTGATTCTTCATGTGTTAGAATTTTCTAAAGAGAAAAAGTATATGTAAAACAAAATAATTCAAATAATTTTCATTCAGTACATTCGATTTTTCATTGTCGACAATCATGATGTACAGATATGTAAAATACAGACATGAACGTAGTGGATTACACTAGAAAAAATATCGACATGTGATAGAACAGCTGATTGACCGTTTCTTTTTCATTCGACACATATAAAGAATATGATAACATCATGCATAAAGAATAGATAAAAGTCAATTTTCATTTTATTTGACTCCATTCCATATAGTAGTATCAAGAGAATCCAGGCATTTTAGACTTACGCTAGGACTATATCTGGTTAAAACATTTAAGTCAGATCTGAGCCTCGATCGGGTAGTGCACGAATAGTTCTACTAAAGACAAATCAATAATACCGTATGACTAGACTAATCTGAATGAATTTGAAATTTGGTCACAACACATACACATACGTAAGCTCGTAGTTAGCCTACTTTTTTTTTTATGTACTGTTGGATATCGTATAAATGCAAGACAGTTAGTTCCTTTTCCCCCCGAAAATATGAGATATTGATACTGCCTGTTAGTTCGATTTTATGATGTCCATTGAGTGTTTTTGAGAAACTCACAATTCACAGTTTTAGGAGTAGTTATGTCTATTTTCCTACGCTGATTGTATAGAGCTTGTCGATCTGCATAATAAAATCTATTTCATAGTTACTAAAAGTCTCAGACTCATGATATTGTTGATTTTCTTTTTTCAAGTTAAAAATAAATTTTATTTTGTAAATCGATTATGAAACAATCGCAAAGAAAACGAATGAATTCTGCTGTATTTGTCCTTTGCAAATACCTTATACGTATGCATTGTAAATAAGTTAATGTTGGATGTCATTTAATTGAAGTTCAACAACTGCATGCACAACTGAAAACTAATAAAAGCTAGTGTAAATTTAAGATCAATTTGAAAAACTTATTCATAGCCGCAGAAATTCACAAAGGATATTTTAATGCTTGATCGTCGTCTGTGTCGATGAATAATATGCAACGCATCAGATTACATGAAAATTGTCAAGAAGCTATCAGAACAGAGTACAAATATCTGACATTCTTTGATCATTTCAGTAAAATTCGGTCACTCACTAATGCAACGAGCAACACTTTATCTTGTATTGTTTGTTAAAGATTATGTTTATTTTACTTCCAAAATTGTATGTTTTATTTTTATCTTTTAATGCATATTCACAACACTTCGTTCATTATTGTTTTAGCAATGAAAAAACAGAAAAATAAATCAGTCAACATTAAATTTTACATTTGCTGCAGTAGAACGTAGTTTATTGAGTAATTCTTCATTAGTTTTCACATAGCATTCACTCGTCGAGTTTGGCTGAAGTTTTTCTAAAACAAAAGAATAGCCGTAAAATAGTTCGTTTTTTTCTCTTCAAATTCACATACTTGGCGTTATTGATCCAATCAAATATTTAAATTGACCATTTTTTAATTTAACAATATCCTCGCAAGCAAGTACCGTCTCTTCAGTAACTACTGTATGCTAAATAAACAAGATGATACAGAGACAAACAATTCACTGAAATCTTTTCAAAAATCCCTACTGCAAAATCTACTACACGTAATGAATTTGTGTCGTTTGCTTTGATACAAAGAAAAATAGCAAGTACACCGTCGGAATTGATTTGGTTTTTGTCAAGCTAAAAATGTATTCGGTACGAGTTATTTTTTTTAAGTATAAAATTTAAATTTTATTCGATAACAAAAAATCAATACCTTGAGAATTTCGAGTGAATCATTCGATGATAATGCCTGAGCAATAGCAAAAGCATTTGGTGTATTCAGTCGATTTCCAATGAGATTTAATTCTTCTAATGCACTATTTTGTTTTATACAATCAGCTAAAATTTGTCCACTATCAGGTCCTAAACCATTCATTGCTAGATTACAACGTTTCAAACGAACATTTTCCTATCAACGGAAAAAACATAGTTGAATGTCAAGGTAAGAAAACCAGACAGTTTTGGCTGAGGCGAAATTTCTATATAATTTTCTTTTTGCTTTTTTAATGTAATATTCTAAATCAATGGGTTTTCTGACTTGATCAGCCGTTTTGCTTTTAGATTGAAATATAATGTTAAGTGCAAAAATATAGGAAAGAATTGAATCGGAAATGTTTCCTGAAGGTTACAAAAGTTCTAGAACAAAAGCTATCAGGAATCTCTTCCGCAATTTGAGTCAGTATATTATTCATTTTCTAGATTTCTTTAACTGTTTGCTTTTTCATTGTCGACCTTGATGTTTTTTCAGTAACATATGTGTACAAACTGTTGGTTACCATGACAGTTTTCATTTAATATTATGCTAACTATTCCCGACTGTGAGGAACTGAATCATAAGTATTTTGGTCCAAAGATCATTTTTAGTAGATATGACTTAAAAAATGAAATTTTCTAATAATACTTCACGCAGAAACTGTGCACTATTCTCGATGAATATTGTTAACATCACTCATTCAAGGTTAAAAATAAGAGCGATATCATGTTTTTACATCATGATCTTTCGGAAACTATGTTAACAACTGTTTTAACTGTAATCAATCATTGTAAAAATGCATCAATAATACCCTGCATCTCCTTTATTCAGATAAGGAAACAGAGGCAATTAGGAAGAATTTCCAGTCGAACATTTCCGTATATTTTTGCACAACAAAAAAATGATGGGCAAGTTTCTACACTAGTATATTACAATAATATATCATAGTAAAATAAAACTACTATAGAACATTCGTCTGATTTATTTATATATTTTGTACGCATACTTTAATTCCATTTACAAGATCAATCGCACTTCGTCCTCGAAAATTATTCCAGCTCAAATCAATTGATTCTAATGAATCATTACTACCTATGGAAATTTAATAAAAAGAATTTAATGTTTAACTTTATTAAGACTATATCTTACTGATAAATGTACCAAGCACCTTGCCACATGCTTCACCAAAACTGTTATGACTCAAGTCGAGTTCGTGTAGTATTTTGTTTTGCTAAAATTGAAAAAGAAATAAATGATCATATCGTACCTCCTCATTTTCGCGAGCATGAAATCGAAAATTAAAATCTTTTTCTTAGTTTGAAACTTCAATTCGAAAAACATTTCAAGCCTCAAATTTTCACTTTTAAAAAATTAAATCGAAAATGTTAAATTTTCGTTTTTTATTTATTAAACACTAATTGAGAATAATTTTTCAATAAAATTGCTATCTTCCGTTTTGCTAGTAACTATCTGCAATTTGTAGAGTTCGCTAAATATTGAATATCATTATTTGTATTGAATAAGCTGTAATATATAGAACGCGCTAAACGATTGTGTTAGTTTTTTGCTAATTAAAATGTAATTTATGAGTATCAATATCATGATCGATTTCTCTGAGGTTCATCATACAATCTATAAGGTATAGTCAAGAATCTATTTACACTTTCATTCGAATACTTTTTACATCAACCGCTCTTTTTGTCATTTTGACGATCTTTGCTCGTTTATTATGACTAAAAATTCGTCAAGAAAGAAACAACAAAAATAGAACTAGACAATACTCGTCTTACATTCGACGCAACTTTCTTTATTTCTATCCATTTGTTTGCTCTTGCTCGTCTTTGTAATACTATATATTCATGAGTGAATTAGATTATTATTGATCTTCATGCCCACATATTTCTAGAAATCAACTGAACTATGTGTTGATAATAAATATTCGTCATTAACAAACTACATGTTCTACGTATTCAATCGAATCTTTTGAAACAATGAACTCTATATTACAGAAAAACACGCCACTAAGAAAATGAACCAATTTTCTTTGCAAGAACTCTCTCTCTTCAGTTCTAAAAAGTTCTGTCTTCTACAAATTGCAGCAATCTTTTAGAACTGAAAAGCTTTCTATTGTCAAAAACTTACGTCCTCTGCAAATTGCAGTGATTATTTAAACTTCAGAAACTTTTTATCATAAAAAAACTAACATCCTCTACAAATAGCAGCAACTATTTAAAGTTGAAAAACTTTTTATCATAAAAAACTTACGTTCTCTAGAAATTGCAGTAAACGTAGTTAAGTGAAAATAGCTTTTTAAAATCTTGTTGTGGAAAAATATCGAAATAATATACTTTAAAATTAAACGAAATTCTAATGGTAAATTTAGTTAAATCTATTTTCTTTATATTCGCCAAGGAGAAGTAGCCGATCATATGGTTGTATTATTTTTCGTCAAAGAAAAAATCTATTTACTTCAAATGCTTCGATTAATTGTGTAATATCAAGTTCATTGAATTTATTTCCTAAAATAAAAACATACAAACGTACAAAAGCATTGATCATCATTTTCTGCATACCTGATAAATTAAGTTTTTTTAAATTTCGATTTAATGTTAACATTCTACATATTTCTTTTGTACCTTCATTACCGCCGAGTCGATTATCAGCAAGAGACTATTATATGATATTTGTATCTGCGAATTTATTTAATCAAAATGATTACTTACGAGTTCTGTAATAGAATCATTTGTTAAAATCAATTGTGTAATATATTTTGTTGCTTGTTCTTGTAAAAAGTTGCCATCCAAGTAAAGATGATCAATACTAAGATTCGTCTATAAAAAGTATAAATAAGAATTTTTAGTTTCGAACGAAATCTACATACGACAAGTGTTTTCGTTATAGCTTTAATATCCTCTGTATTGAATTGATGATAGCGTAAAATCATTTCACTATCTTGTATATGCGCCAGAAAATATGAGCATGGTATTAAACTTCCTTCTTTACACAATTCACGATATAATTGTCTACCTGTTGGGTCATGATCTTTTTGTCCGCCAGAATCTTTTAAAACGAAAAAATAAACATTTTATTATGCAAGGCAAAATATTGTCATACATTCAATGTTTACCTGTTTCAATATCGGTATCATAATCTTCATGAGACGACCGAGGATTATTGTCACTTGATTGTGATGATGAGACTCCATCGTCTATGCTTACATCGTCATCATCGTCGTCTTCATTGCTGGTATCATTGTCATCGTTGATTGCAAGAAGATGTGGTGAAAATGGTTTTTGCTGTTCGTCTTCGTGCACCGAAGGTGTTTTAGGAGCAACAAGATTTGGCATTTTTTTCCGAAGTTCTTCTAAAATTGTTTCGTAAACTTCATCTTGTTGAATTTCCGTAAGAAACGATGCTGGTATAAGTGATACATCAGATAACTTTAATACTTCATCAATATTTGTATCTAAAGTAGAAAGATTTTTTCCAAAATATCGATAGCATTTTGTTTCTCAGAAAACTACCATCAACTTCCGTTATTATTTTCGTTCCTCGTGAATTGCTTGTTTTAAGTGGATTCATTCCAACGGTCAGCGATGTCGTTCCACTGCTCAGTCTTGTTGTACCAGAAGTTGGTATATGTTGAGCACCACCACCACCACTAATAAAAAGTCGTTTCGATGTCGAAGCAGTTTTTTTCGATGTTACTGTTGTCATAGTGTTTGCTCTGTCTCTCATACGACCCGTGTCGGTTTGAGTTTGTATCCTCTAGATATGAATGATAACGATTAATTAATGAAAATAAAAATGAATTGTTATACTTGATGGCTTTTTACAGGCATTTATGTGGTGAAGGGCTTGCACGTTATTGATGCGAAATGTTGTTTACACTACTATAAACACGGTTATGTTGCTGTGATGGAAGCAGACATATACGATTAAAAAAAACATTACTTTTTCTTTTTTTCTTCTATTCTGTTTTTATTTCTTTTATTTCTGAAGTTTTACGATGAAAAATGCAATAGTCAAATTTTTATTTTGTGCTACCATCAATCGAAATAGATCTTTATTTCGGGAAGCAATTGTACAACTAATGATTTCCTGTAACTGCGTTTACAAAAGATAATTTATGAGCTGGACTAATGTGTATCTGGTAGTTTTTTTTTGGAAAATTAAAAGAATTAATATTATTTCACACTTAATATCTAAATTGTATAATCATGAGAATATATGCATCATCAAACATCAATATTCTATATCCAATAGATCTGCCATATATGAATCACTGTGAATAATTTTCACCTTGAATTAGCAGGAAAACACATGTCAAAGAGAGAAAAATCACTACAACAGCAACAAAGAAAAACAAAATATCGGAATAAATACAGCTCGACATAATGCGAAAGTAATTTTATGCATAAAATATTTTACTAATCGCGAATTATTCAAAAACTAGGTACGACATGAAAATTCGACGTTAATACATCACTATGAATTAAAAAACACAATTGCACGTCTTTTAGGAAATAAATGTACTCAATAATATTCTTCTGTTTTGAATTGTAGAAGAACAACTTTATTGAATTTTTATGAATAACAAAAAAATGTCGAGTACCGAGGTAAGATGTGATTCTAGTTTACATGCTTCGCTAATCAATTTCGAGCAATTCAATACGCTTTTTTTCTAAATCTCGGTTGCAAACTAGAATTACTGCAAAGAAATTGTGTTTTTATTTATTTTAATCTTAAATTTAAAAAACTAAATTAATCCGCCCATTTAATTTCTTCCTCTTTTGTCCAAAAGAAAATTCTACGTCGTTATTTTTCTTGTCTCTGTTGCCAATAAACTAAACAAAATAATACCAATGCTCGGCTAACTCCTAATGTTCGAACTTTCGATGACATTATTATTTCTTTTTAAACCGTTAAGCCTTTTTCTTTTTCTCTTTTCTTTTCATTCTCATAGGGGATTTATTCGAAGGTGAAAAACAAGTCTTGCAAGTGTTGTTAAAAGCAGCACTTCATCTCTCATCATTGTTAGGACAAGAGAAAAGTATCCTCAAGTATTCTGATTGAATGATTTTTTTTTAATATTAAATATATATATCTATATCTATATATATATATTATTAATCCGCAGGAACATTTCACATCATAATTTTTTCTTGTAGATACTATTCAGCTGATAAGAGTAAGCAGAAAATTTTTCAATCGTTACAAAGAAAAATTCTCGGTCAGCTTGTAATTTGCTTAATCGACACGATTATTCTGATGTGTTGAATTAATGCAAAAGGATTATACTACAAGTCTACTTGGTAGTGAGATCCGTACAGGATGCACCTTAATTCAAATTTTTTGCTTCGGCTTCTATTATTGCTAGAACAAAAGAATTTTAACATTCTGTAAGATCTTGTTAATTTAGTTTTTAGACTATTTTAGTGCTTCTTGAATTACGATCCAAGTAAACATGATGAAGATTATCCAATGAAATGTCCTAAGAAAAGCAAACGAAGTTGTCTGTGTAATTTTGTTTGTATATTCCTCAATTCTGATCGATGCGGTAATTTTATCATGATTTTTTGTTTCGTTGAAGAAAATATGTTTTCTACGTTCATCTTCACTTTTATTTTAATTTATGGAAGCCATCAAAGAAAAAAAAATCAAAAGTGGCGATGAATATGGAAAACAAAAACAAAATATTTTCGCTGAAGCACTACAAACGATGAATAAAATATCAGCTGGATCAGTGTGGAGAACATAATAAACTTGAGAATTCATACGCAGTTTTTTCTATTTTACTTGAGACATGCTATTTGTCAAATCTCTTTTATGGACAATCTGTTGTCTTGAAAAGAAACGAAAGAAAAACGAAAAAAATTCTCTATGAAACGGCTTATAATTTCTATAGTGACCGAAGCCAAAACAAAAAACTCCAAATTCTAGAATACGATCTAAGAGAAATACAATTATAAAATCTGTAGCTTATTGTCTTCGAAAAACAAACATATATATATATATATATATATATATGCGTATACTACGAACAAAGGAATAGTAAGAAAATCTATCTTTGATACTAACTCAAACGTACAAGAATTGCATTACATATTAAATTGTGTTAGTAACTAAATTTTTCTATTTTATTTTTTTAGACCAGTGCAAATCATGCCAGAAACTATTAGTCCTCGTTTTGGTGCGACATATCTTATTCAGCGAACAAAGTAAGTTTAATGAAAGCAAAAACGAAGAATTTTTTCTATTCTTTAAAAAAACAAATCAATTTTATTACTCTCTTCATCTAACATATATTCAATCACAATGCTAAAAGGAAAGAAAACCAGGGACGAAGAGCGAGTGAAAGAGAGAGAGAGAGAGAGAGAGAGAGAGAGAGCAAGAGAAACAAATGTACTATCATATTTAATGGGTTTAAAACTATTTTGCATTCTACCATCTCACAGGCCACTATAAATTTAAGTGTAAAAAATACTGACAACAATAGAAAAGAACGACGAATATTATTTCACACGTACCAGTGTTTTTGATCAGCTGCGAGAAGTAAACAGATGGACGGAGCAAGAGTATCTCCATATCGGCTATTAGGCGGTCTTCGACATGCTCAAAGTCTAAATAATCTATCATCGATACCGAGTCTACAATCTAATTATCGATCAATTCGTGACCAGGTGAGATAATCATTTCATTATTTAGATCAGCAGCACCTACATTTCGCTATAAATCGACTGCACCTACTTCACCACCAAAGACTCCAAGAGAGCCAACGGTTGTATTAAATATTGACAAGGTTTGTTTTGTCTTAAACATATCTTCTCTTTTTCGATGACTTTAAATCTAACCTTTTTTTGAACAAAAAAACAAAAACAACAACCAGTCCCATTTCTCAATCGATTATACATCTTTCTTTAGAATTGCCCAGTGCACGGCTCTCAAGGTAAATGCATATGTAGATCATTTGTTGCTGACGATGATTTAAAAAATTCAGAATTACTTCATCGTAATGGCCACTACATTGAACAAATTGGTGATAATAACGCAAATAATAATGATACTGTCTCATCAAAAATAAGACCATTTACGAATAATCCAGCATTGCCTCACACACAACGGTATTGATAGATTTCATTCGAAAACTAATTGCCTTCATTTCATTCTTTTAAAGCGACATTGTTGGTAATAATCTATCTTTTAATTCACAATCACAAGCCCATGGTTGGAACAATATCGACAATGAACAGCTAGGTCCTTTGGCGGTGTATCGAGATGCTCTCAAACAAAATCTGACATCATCTGCTAGAATGAATTCCAGCACTGTTCCAAAGTAGTCATAATTAACTAAATATATTCAAGTGACTATGTTATCTTCGTTGTAGAATGCATTTTGGTCGAAGCGGTGGTCATTGGCCTCATATCAAAGCAACAAATACACATTCAGCAGCAAATCTTATGTTTATTGATGGTTTTAAATCAACTCTTTCTTTTATTTTCTCCCTAACAATCTTATCTTGTTTAGGTACAATAGGATCGGATAATAGTTTCAAATACGCAATGCCACGTTTTGGTTGTACTCCATTGAGTCGACAAAATTCGTTTGCGTCGCCATCAAATCAAGATCTACCAAATAAAACACCAAATATAACAGCAGCATCATTAGATTCTATGACCTGGTCGGCAACGGAACAGCTTAATCATCGACCAAGTTTATCACAATATTCAAATCGTTATGAACGTCATGCAAAAGACGGTTTTTCTTATTGGCCAACAGATATAAATTATAAAAAACCACGATGTAAGTATATCCTTTTTTCATTAAATTTCAGTGTTAAAAAAATGAATGATAAAAAAAGAGATCGATCATATTTAGTATATACAGCTACGAATAGTTACAATAATAATAATCATGAGGTGAGAGTAATTGCATGATTTGCACATACTTGAACACGATTTTATTTTTCTTCTTTAAAAGAATCGATCGGTTTGCTTGCACAATTTATTTAAAAAAATCTCTATATTCTAGGTAAACCAGGAACTACTGGGACATACAAACGATGGCTTGGTTTAAGTGATTCGATTCTTAAACTATAAAAATTCATTGAACACCTAAAATTATTTATTCTTTATTTTTATCTTTCATATATATATATATATATATACATACACCAATAAATATATATAATATTTTTCTATCTTTTACGAAAAAAATAATTTTTTTTCAGACTCAATGCATTGATTTTATGTATGTCACCTTTCTCTCGAATCCATTCATTTCTAAATTTTAATAAAGAAAATATAATGAAAATACAACTACAAGTTATACATCGAAAACAACAAATGTTTTTCTCTTCATGTCAAACATACTTTTCTATCGGGTACAATTATTGTTAATGTATCATGTGTTTGATTTATGAAATAAGAATTCTGAAACATTTGTTTTGTTTACATATTCATTTGTTTTAAAAGGATCTAAAGCCGCTCTTGAACCGTCACCTTTCATTTTTCTTCCTATGCATTACGACTAGAAGGGGAAAAGTATACATGGGTATTTTAATGGTAAGGAAAAGCACTAAAACAGTACAGTGAAGTTCATTCTTTTAAATTAGAGATTGCTCTACATGTATTGCTTGAAAAAAAGCCTGGCGGGAAAATCAGTTGAGAAAAATTCGATAAAAAAAAATATTGAATGGCTTCAACGAATACTTTTCATAAATATAGAATGTAGAAAAACATGATAATGTACTGGGTTAACAATAAATCTATCTTGGTATAAGTTCTAGTGCAGTGTAGCTTCACTAGTAGAAAATATGTATATCTAATGTATAAAGTTATATAAAATATAGAATTAAATTTTGAATTTTATGTAAATCTTGATTGTGTCAAGTCTTACTTTATAACTGAAATGATTAGGTTCGTTTTTCGATGTCAATACTACTTGCTGAGACTTCATTCGGATAATTAGAAAAATGTCATTCGATAGGTACTAATGGATATCGGTTGACAATCAATAAATCGATTATTCATAGATATTTTTATAATCTGTTTCTCGAGCGTATGCTTTAATTTCGTTGTAGATTCGTGAAGCATTAATATTTATTTTGTCGCATTCATACTTTTTATTATTGACATCATCAAATTGTGCAGTCATCAAAACGAAAGTTGTCATCAACATTCCTGTTGCCATGTTCTTATCTTTATTGTTATCAATTCCGAATATAATATCGGTCTTCATTGAGGAATTAACACCACATTTTTTCCTTAGTACCTGTTCGTTTAGAACTATCAGTTAGTTGTCGAAATTGCGTTACGAAAGATGTAAGAAATAAATTATCACAGATTAGTACGGGCGCACTTTGTCTTTAAAAAAATTCCTTCTAAACATTTGTTGATGATGATGATGATGATGATGATATAACCTTTAGCTTAGAAAATATACTCTCGTTAGTTTTGAAAAAAAAAGAAACCTAAACTAAATCAGTGTTTGTATTCATTATAATATAACTTGTGGAATTTGATCGCGTTTTATGTATGCATACATATGAAACATAATATTGTTTAATCAGATGACTCAACAAAATAGTTTCCATAGGGAAATATAATAAATTTTATCGTGAATCATTTTCTTGAGTTCATAACATTTGGCTTGAGTAAATAGAAAAGAAAATCAGTCATACTATGGTTGTGCATGAATACATTCAATCAGAGAAAAAACACAAAAAGATATTATCGTCGTCGAATTGGTCTACCAAGAATCAGACTAGTCGATAGCGGTGATAATCTTTCGATTACTTGCCGAATCACAGTTACATCTTGATGAAGACGATTAACAGCTAATTGTAAATTTGTAACGCGTTCATTTAAATTTTGAGAAAACGGTTCAACTAGACTTTCCCTAGTTGCTCCCGCTTGCTGCTGAGACGGTATACCAGCAGCTGATGGACGATTTGCAGGTGCACTAGTTATTGAACCGCTTTTTGTTCGATGCTCATGCGAAGTCAATCGATCAGTTTGTCCGCCAAGTGTGTCTACTAATAATTCTCGTAATCGAGTTAATTCTTCAGCTATATTTATTGCTGGTTCTGTGTCAGTGGTTGGTGCTAATGATTGCGGTTGATTCAATTCGTCTATATTTTGTTCTGATGAAAGATCTTTTGGTGATGATGATGATTGTACGTTTGCAGTAGATTTTTGTCCGATCGTGTCTGCCGGTGAATTTTGTTTTGCTGTTGGAGTTGTTTGAAATTTTACTAATGTTGAATCGATATCATTTAATTTTTGCTGCATTTGTATGCGAAATGAATTAAATTGGATGCTATTCTTATCCATTGTTTCTCGAAAATGTGAAAATGCTTTTGTTTGTTGTTCTTCACGTGATTGTCCGAATGCATTAAAATTAATATCTTTCCAATTTAATTGTAATGGTGCACATTGACGATGAATTATTTCTTGTAGTTGTAAACGTCTTTTAGGCGATAAACGTGATTCGCAATTCAATATAACTTCGATACGTTCAAGAAGAAAACGGGCTTCAACTGTGGAAAATGCTTCGGTTTGTAGAGCATTCGATATAAGACCAATAAAAATGTTAACAGCTAATATTGCAGTAAACAGAAGATAGGTGCCACATACAAATGCAGCAAAAAAATGATCAATTAAATTAAATGAATCTATGGGAACTAGAAATAAAGAGTAGCAAAAATGATGTTTTTGTTTTTTTATGGTTGTAGATTCTTACTCTCATCAACTAACGCAATACGAAAGATGGAGAAAAGTAATGAGTAAAATGTATCGAAACCATTTGGTTCAATTATACGACATGCATCGGTTGCTTGAAAGCATAAATCGCCGACAACTGGTGATGTTCCATTGAATATATAACGATTTGGACCTTGAAGTGACTCTGTAGTTCCATCGAATGGCGTTGTAATCTCTTCAATAGGACAATAAAGTAATGCTGTTTCGCATAGTTTAGGTGTTGCTTTATAATCAGCATAGATAATTTGTTTACCACCAAATACGGCATAGAAAACGAGTGCATATGGTAAAAGAAGAAAAGCAAACACTGATAGAAAACGTATGATATCATCGAACATCATGCGAACCTAAAAATATAATGAACTTATTTTTTCTCAGATTTTCCGAGATTCGCTTGATTTGAATTTAATAACTGAGAGCCTCACAAGATAGTTCTAGTATGGAAGAGTCCATCATCATGATGAGCTGATAGTATTGTTCTAAGTTCTACCTATGTCAGACACCGCCGTTAACTTGCACTTAGCAAGTTCGAGCCTAGAGTAATTTTTGATACATACAATAGACGGATTCAATATTCCGCTGTAGTAGATTCTATTAAAATTTAATTCCAAAATATTTTGACTCCTACTATTCACATGCGGAATTCAGTTCGCTGGTATTTGCAACTCACCATAATAACCAATTCTCCTAATTTGATTTCAACTAGTTTGGATCTTAATGTTTTGAACGATACAGATACTGTACGAAAAAATACCATAAATCGAAACCATATCAATATAACTGTAATCGATGCAACATACATGTGACTGCGTGCACGCATGACTGTATGGCCACCAACATCAACAAAATGTGTTATCAGTGTTACTAAACAACATATATAAATAAACCAATCGAATAGATTATTTAATGAATAATACATATAATATGATTTAAGTACGCCTTTGATAGAAGCTCTCAATCGTCGGAAAATTCGAATAAATCTTGTTTGTTTTATTGGATGGCTTTGTTCAGAAGGAAATGTTACACTTGTTACACCATTGAGTCCAGTTTTCTTTTTCGAATCATTAGTGACGGCATTTGAAGGATCAGAAAGATTCACTGGCGTATCAAAAGGTTGTTGTTGCGTTGGTAAAGGTTCACTGAGTTTACCTTTGATCATCGTTGGTATTGCCGGCGGCAATGGATGATGTTGCGAATGGTGAGAACGCATTGCTGTTAAATTAATATTTGATGACATATCTGCTGATGTTGTAACTGACGTTGCTGTGTTTGTTTCATTTATAGTACTATGTTCTGTTTCACCAGTATCATTTTCAAATTTACGAAGATTGCTGTTTGCTGATTGCATACGAGTATTTGGTTTGTATTTATTTTTTGATATTAAATCTAATCGATTATTTGTTCGTTCTGTTTCCCAAATAAGATAATCTTCATAACGTTTCCTTGCAGATCGCATCTCAAATAATTCAAGAACAATTGACCATATTAAGAAACCAATACAGAATACCCAAAGTACACAACGCCATATATCATGAGGAAACTGATAAACATAACGAACATGAAATGAGCCTATCAATGCAGTGCATGTCCATAAAATAAGAAATACAACTTCAAAGAAGAGGCGAAGATAAAAATGTTTTGCAGCATAATTATCCCATTTCCATTTGATAAGACCTGTTAAACAAAAAAACACCGTATAAACCTATTTTGGAAAAATTAATCAATAACTTATATGAACATACTTTTTTTCACAGAAACAGTTTCGCAGCTAATGCTGAGACAGGAAATACGAGCATATACTGTTTTTCCATTACTCCCATTTCGGTTCGTCTCATCTATTGGCCCCGTCTTATTTTTGAACTCGTATCTGTTGTATAGACGCCGCGGTGAAAGATGTCTCGCATTTCATACGGATTATAAGTTGAAATACGAATCACGCAGACAATTAATGATCAAAATATTTTCCTGTAGATATACACTTATCTTTTTTCCCTACTAATATATTATATGACAATCTGGAGCATTACATTTACGTACTTGAACCCATCCAAGTTTTATTTTCAAACGTTTTATTCAGATCTCATATTCTATGACGTGAATAAAACTTAACTTTCAGTTCAACATGTAAAAACGATAGGACATTGTCCCCTTAAAAAGTGTCGGCTCAATCGCTATGTTAACTCGTTTCGTATTACATGCCTAGAGGATATGATCAACAACAACTGCATCTACATCATGTTTCACATTTCAATCTAGTTTTTCTATTCTTGCGTTTAATAAAATTTTAATAAGCTACCTTTGATAAGCGGATGTGTTATTAAGTCCAATCGTTCATGATAATAAATTGCTTCCAATGGTGTTATTGGACGATATTGTGTGCCATTAGGTCGACATTTTGTTGTAACTGATGCTCGATGATCATGTGCAGGATTTATTATTGATTCTGACATATTCGGCGCTACTACTGCTGCTGCTGCTGATGATGATGATCCACCAGAATTCATTGGTGGAACTGGTAACGCTGATTTTTCTTTAGAACGATTTTTTGCTTTCGGCTAAAAAAACGTTCATTTGTTGCATACATGTATATTTCAAAAAACAAATCAAATAACTAACAATTCGAATGTTCGAAGCAACGATTAATTGATTAAGATACGATGAATCATTTAAATCAGTTTTATCAAATTCTTCCCTAAAACAAAAACACAGAATTTCGATACTATTTAATCGATATATGTCTTTAATTTTTACCATGGTTCAATATGATCAAGATAAAGATGAACAGCTTTTTGTACTTCATTAACAACAATTAATGAATCCATAATATCAAGAGCGATTGTACTTGATTCATCACTGAATAGTAACGCTAGAAATGTTTGCATACTATTATCAAATGATTTATATAAGCAAACGTTGCATTTATCGCACGGTCGTATATTTTGTCCAGATGATGATTCAATGAAACCTGTTTGCTTACAATTGAAACATTGCCGTTTAGCTTGTGTAACGCCGGTTGATGATACGCCACAATGACCATCACGTAACGAATGCGATAGGTATTCATAGGATTCTTTCCATTTGAAATTTATCAATTTAATAACTGCATAGTGTTTAAATTCATTGGCTAGTTCCATAGGAGTTTTATTTTCATTGTTTTTTATTAACATCATATTAGCCCAAAACCAAAATTTAACTCGTGATAAATTCAGAAAACAAGTTAAACCATTTGGAGTATCATCACGAGCTAGAAGAAAAAATTTTTTGTTTTTTGAGATGTTTCAATTATTTTTCACTCTGAAATATGGCGTTTATTGAATTATTTGTAATCAAAGAGTATGTATGAATTTAGTGCCAATAGGATGGTCTATTTTAGTATTCGAGGGTGAAACACTTATACGGTTTTCAGGGTCTAACTAATGAAAAAATATTTCTAAATGTCTAGTTTACATTCGAAGCAAATTTATAAATATCATGGAAAGATTAGTCTCATGCTTATCACGCCGCTCCTCGTAAGTTAAGATTCGAATAGAAACACGGTTGTGTCAATAAAAACACAACAGAATATTCTTTTATACAGACTCGAGATTCGATTAGTTTTTTATTAGAAATAAATTTGAGTCGCGTTAGAAATTTTTCCATACTCTACCTGCAATATGAAGTAGATTGTCGCCATAAGCTAAACTACTTAACGATAAATATGTTAATAATTCATTATCCGATATATACGAAAGTAATGTTTCAAGACAAACTAAATTATTGAAGTTTGTTCGCATAAACGTATGTATAATCATATCGCCATGCATCGATGAACGTACATGTAAACAATTACGATCTTTTTCAATTAATAATTTAATCATTTCGTAATTATTCATTTGCATCGCCATTTTTAAATCAGTTGATTGTACATGAATATCTTCTTGACTAAGTATCAGCTTTCCGACATCATCGTGAGTATATAATATCGCTAGAGCAAGTGGCGATTGAGCATCAGCATTTAGCGGATTGATATCCACGTTTGGCGATTTTATTAATGTAAGTACAAGTTCAATATTACCTAAGAAAACAAATGAAGTGAAAAAATAAGTTGAAAACTCAAGGCATTAGATACCAATCAAACTGAATATTCTCAACAATATCGATCGGATAATAACAACTGAAAATATGTGTTTTTTTTTGTACTCATTTATTTTCTACTATCTTAAACATTTACGATTATGCATAGGTAAGTTTTCTAGAAAGTTTCTATTATTTAGACGATAAAAACGTGAATATGTCCAAATTCGAAATCCAATAATTTTTCATAGAAAATACGAAGAACGAAACGAATTTAGAGACTATTATTGTCGATGACAGCTAAAAGTATAGTAGCGAGCTCACTAATTCGTTTTAAAGTCGTCTCAACGCGTACCTTTTTCCGTTGCTAAATGTAATGGACTATTTTGTCTTATATCCTTCGCATTAACATCTGCCCCATGCCGAATCAAATATTTCGCCAAGGAACCATTTAAATTGTCTGCACATTCGTGTAATGGTGTACGTCCTTGTCTATCTAATAGATTCATTTGTTCAATTTTCATTTTATTAATTAATATAGCAGCAGCATTTGGTTTTTCATTGGCGCAAGCTAAATGCAGAGGCGTTTTTCCCATTTTATTAACTGCAATTAAATCAAGATTTGGATATTTCATTAGTAATCGACACATTTTTGAATTATCATCTCTTGCAGATAAATGCAACGGTGTGTTTCCATCTTTATCAACTAAACTAAGATCAGCACCCTTTTGAAGAAGAAACCGTGCAAATGAATAATTATCAACTAGAACCGCATCGTGTAATGGCGTTTGTCCATCTCGATTTTGTGCATTTAGTGACGACGGATTTGATCGGAAAACAGCTTCATAAATATCATTTTTATCTAAATATTTACAATAATGTAACGCTGTATTCGATAGAGAATCAACAACATTTATATTTGTGAATTCAATATGGCGGAAAAATGCATCGATTAGATCAAAATTTTTTTGTTCAAGTGCTTCAAGAAATGGTGTACGTCCAAGACGATTTTGTTGGTTAAAATCTGCTGATGCTTCAATTAATTTAATAATATAGTTTTCGTAATCAACACTTTTTTTAGCAACTAAATAATGTAAAAATGTATTTCCACGTTCATCACACAGATTAATATCCAGCGAATGTTGAACTAATAATTCAATTCCATATATACTTGGAAAATCACATAGCAACGGGGAACGTGGCAATTGAGAAAAATAACGTTTCCAATTGAAATTTGTTGTGTAGTCAAATAGAGCTTTTAAACATTGATCATGTTGATATTTAACACAAATACTGATTGGTGTTTCGTGTGGATTTAAACGTGTACCTTTTTGAAAATCGGCATCGTTTTCAAGTAACGCTTTCAGTGCATCGATATTATTTTCATAACAGCAAATATGTAATGGTGTACAACCATTTTCATCAAATATATTTACACGTGCTTTATAGGTTTTTATTAAAAGACGTATTAATGCGCTATCATTGTTTCGTGCTGCAATATGCAGAAGTTGAGTTTGAGTTGGATATCCTAATAATAATTTTAATAAATAAAAATTAATCGAAGAAAATCAAAAGTTCGAACAAACCATGATGTATGTCGAATGTTGGTAAATTAACCTCAACCATTACTTTGAGTAAATATACCACTAGATCGGTGTTATGATTTGCTAATGCATAATGAGCTAAAATAAAGGATGTGAAAAGCAGTTTATTGCTGCGCTAAAGACGTCGATGAATAACCAACATATTTTTCAAAGGTACATCGTCTTGAATCAAATTTATCCTTTAGAATAGTCACGGGGCAAGTTTAGCGTATACAAGTATATACTGTTATGGAAACGAGTTTTGGCTCATTAGTTTATGTTGAACAGGAATTTCGATTTTTAATATGAGAACCTACTTCGTTGTGAGCTCTCTAGCTTCAGAAGGGAATAAACTCATGATCAGCTCGAGCAATCTATATATCATTGAAAACTTCGTACCTGCTGTCCATCCATAGTCGTTTTGTCTATTGGGATCGCAACCTTTTCTTGTTAAATAATCCACAATATTAACACTTTCTGTTGAAATTATTTCTGTACGCGCAATTAAATGTAAAGCCGTATTTCCTTCATCGGTAGTAGCATTTATTTGTGCCCCGTCACGTTCATATTCTTGTACAGCACTTAAACTAGGATTTGGTACAGATGAAAGATAATTTAACAGTGATTTATTTTCTTCAACTGCTTGAAAAAACGGAGCTGGTGCATTTGTTCTTCCAAGCAAAGAATTTTTTACGCCAGTAAACGTTGCTAAAAATGAACTTGTAGTCTTAGAAGGTTGCGGTGGCGTAGGAGATGTTGTTACATTTGCTATTAATTGGTCTGTTCTCGTATTGTGATGATGCTTCTTATGTTCACTACTAGCTCCTGACATTGATGGCGCTGACGATGAGTCTGATGTAATATCAGGTACTGAATTAACCGTTGTTACTATAGTATCTTGTGTTGTAACTGGCTGTTCATTTTGTAAAAGATTTTGATTTGATAATGCATTCGTATTATTATTGTTATCATCATCATTTAATGGATGAATTGGATGCCTAAAGACAAAATATTGAATTTATTCTCCGTCAAATTTCAGTCAGACGTGGAATTTGAAGCATGAGATTTTGTTTTACTAATAGGATTTGAATGATTCATATGCCACTATGGGCAAGCTGAAATTTATATTGATATTAGGAATCACAATGTTAAACGGAAAACAGAGATGCAATATCAAAATGTGAACAATACTTACAAAAGTTTATTATTTGATTTGAGAATTATGATCTACTGAATTTTTCTCTTTGTATAGATACATTGGTAGAATACCAACATGATTATTTCTTTTATCTTCTCGTTTTCTTCATTGTGCATTTTTCTGAGTTATCAATGATTAACTCAATAATTAAAATAAATGTAGCAAAGAAGATCATGTCCTTGAGTCGAATGACTGGCATAAGAAGAGATAGTTTCTTTTCAATCGCTAATGAGTATTATTTTTCATTAAATAGAAAATAAACACATGTGTCGAGTTAGATCGATCAATCGATCGAAAGCAAGTCGGCCTACTCGTGGTTACATAAGAATCTATTTAGAGTAAAACTAAACGCAAATCTAAGAGAGAGTGGAAAAAAGATAATATTTCACGAGATAAATTAATAGATTAAATTATTTTTGATAATAAATAGATATACACTCACGATCAGGAATTTGTTTTTATCGCTGTAAATATAACTGTACTAATAGATTAGACACGAAATCGGGTTTAATATTCATTACTATTGACCTTATTCTACTAGATTCACACGTTCAATTCCTTTTTAATCCAATCATTTTTCATATGGCTATTTAGGTCATTGCAAACGAAATAGATAAAAAGATTAATATCAATATTCGAACCGATGCGTCATTCTGATCGAATATTTCAACCAGAACTACGCACGAAGAGTATTTGTAACAGTTAATTATATCTTGCAGATGAATACGTATAGAAAAACAAAATCTGTATTTTTGTCCTTCTCCTATAATTTTCCTCCAACAAAAGTAGAACTGTTCGCTGTCTTTTTTTGCTTTCAACAAAAATATCTAATGAATGATAAAAATATCTACCGCCGTGGTCGTAATGAGCGTCGAGGCATTTGATTGTTGGATTTAACGCGGATATATTTTATCGTCTGTAAGATAAATAAATGACGTATAGCTCAGCTTTAGAACTTGATGAATGATATTTGAGGACAGAAAAATTGCCTGTTGTTCTCATAGTGATATCAAACACGAAGAAAGAACAAAAGGATGAAAGAATTTTTTTCTCTCAAACCTGAAATGTTGTCCTATCCAAATATTATCTCATTCTCGTTAAAGATTGATTTTTTTTCTCTCTTCAATATTCTCTAACTTTTCGATTCTATTTTTAAATTTAAATTATAAGTATACCATATACTTTTTATGTATGTTTTTTTTTAAATGTACAATCGATTGTCATCGTGACAGAGTTAAGATTTCGATTACACGGCTCTATAGAATAGGAAAGGAATGAATTAACGAGAAAAAGAAAAGAAACATGAAGAAGCAGTATCATTTGGTTTCAATTTTCGTTTAGTGTCTTGCTTTGACTTAGTATCGATGCTGTCATAGATGCGTTTCTACAACAAATCGTTTTGTTGCTTTTACAACAGGCAAGATGTTGATGTATCTAATAGCTAAAATATCTTTTAGTATGTTTTTTATTTCAAATAAAAAATATTTCATAAAGTCAATAAGAAACCTAAAAAGTAAAAGAAAAAAAAGTTATTTTCAGATGTAAATCGATAACAAATTGGAAATGGATATGCTTCTATTTCTATTCTCAAACATAAATCCTTGCATTTGAGAAATGTTTTCACATTTCGAACAAAATATAACTACAAAAATGAATTCAATTTTATCTAAAAAAAAGTCAGATTGTTTACGTTAGATTGACGTGCAAATGCAAAATTCGAGACACAAGTGATTGTTTCCTTGAGTTGCGCATCTTGAAATAAATAATGATGAACACAAAATATCCAAGTAGTACACCAATAGTTGATATTTTCAATATGGAAATCAGAAAAATCTCTATAGACACGTATGCTAAGAAAAGTCTCGGGAACAAAACTTATGAATATAACAAGAGTCTATCACATTTGTTTATAATACGTCACAGCTGAAATGTGTGCAAAGAACGAAAAAGTTAATTTTAATATATTTGTACTTTGTGCACGATACAAACTGCAGGAAGAAACACAGCTCATGTAGGCATGTTTTTGACAAATCTTGATAATCAATTATTTTGCCCTATATAAGTCACGTTGAAGGTGCATCGAGTCATTTTAGTGATTAATAATAGAATCTGTTAGATTCTTCTTTTTCTTTCTGTGCTTTTGAAATATTGAATCATCATTTTTCAAAATGATTTTATAAATAGAAAATAAGTCAGTAGATTCAGATCTATATAAAAAAGAGAGAGAGAGAGAGAGAGAGAGAGAGCTTCAACTTGTATGTAAAAGAAAAGATTTTCTTGCCGAGCTTAGCACTTCAATTAGTTATACTTTGGATAATAAATCATTTGTAGCTTTTAATTAACTATATGATCTAATTATGCTGGCTATGAATCATAAGAAAACAACAGATACGGTCTAAGTTTGTTTTTGTGCTTATTGAATACCATAGTAGCTACAAATAATGTTCGACGCCTACAGTTGTGTCAATCGTAATTCATAATACGAAAATTATTCGTGATGAACAGTCTCTAAGCCTGTCTTTATATTTACATGTGTGGCATAAAACGATGTGTTTTATTTTGTTAAGTATTTTCGCTCGTTAAAAAGATATGAGATTAAGTTTTGAATTAGTTGTTTAATTTTAATTAATTCTATGAGACAGAAAATTTAAAATCAAAATCAAAACATTTTGCTAGTTTATAAAGTTTCTTTTAAACATTTAATAATTGTTTCATTATCAATTCCACCTCCGCTTAAAATCGCTACAACTTTAAATGGTTCACTTTTATCTTGTCGCCTCAATCCAGCTTTACCATTTTGTACATAATTCATATAATGCCATAATCCAGCAGCCAATGCGGTTGCACTCGCACCTTCACAGATTATATGATTTCTTTCTATTAATATCTTTAATGCGTCAGCTGCTTCTTTTAATGTAACAACAATAGAATTATCAACACAACTTGTAACCAATGGCCACATCTCGTCTAATACACGTGAACTACCGATGCCGTCAACCCAAGATTTTTTCATTGGAATTTCAGTTATTTTACTATTAATAAATGCCGCAGCGAGTGGAGCAGCTGTTTCGATTTCACAAGCAAAAACATCAATTGATGGTTTCAAGTGTTTAGCCACAGAAGCAATACCAGTAGTTAAAGCACCACCACCATAAGGTACTAAACATATTTACAAAAATCGAATTCATCAGTAGGTACGTCTCTCACAGATTTCGGTAGACTCTGTTGATATTGAGTCAAATACGTAGATTAATAATCTCTTGTAATCGAATACAAACTATTGACTTATTGTATTTGTGGAGGATTAGTTACAAAGATGGTGAATCATTGTGTACCAACATAGATACTATAGCAACTTTATAAGGATTCACCTTTGAATCCTCTAACTCAACACCATGAGGTTATTCTCTACTCATCTATAGAAGTCCGCGAGTGCGAATTCGAGACGAAAATTTGCATACTCAAGAGGCTCTAGTTACAAAATATTAGAAATTCGACCAAAATCATAGTGTTCCTTGTGAGTAGTCATCTATAGCTCAATTGAACTTGACAGGTCGAATGCAAATACTTTCTTCCGAAATACAAAGCATGACTATCTATGAAGCTTTTTAAGATCTTTTTTTGAATATGAGATGCTATCAACGTACAAGTTCCATACACATTTTGTAGATTTACCTATTATTGCATCACATTCAGGTAACTCATCTAATATTTCCAACGCAATAGTACCATTACCCGCCATCACATTTCGATCGCATACTGGATGAATAAAATGGCCATCGAGCATTGGACATTGATGAGTAACAATAACTTGAAACCATTCATCAAAACTACATTTAATAATTTTCCCTCCTAACCTCTCGATTGCTTTTAATTTTACTTCGTTAGCTGTATCAGGTACTAAAACTTGACATTTTAAATTTTCCTTTCTAGCAATCCAAGCTAAACCTTGTGCCATGTTACCGGCTGATGCTGTGGCTATTCCATTTTGTTTCTTTTCAGCAGATAAAACTTTAACAGCGTTTGCAGCACCACGTAGTTTAAATGATGATATTGGTTGAAATTGTTCACATTTTAAATAGATTTCAATGCCAGAAATTTCATAATTTAATTTCAACAGAGGAGTACGCTGTACAATATCACTTAAACGTGTTTGCGCTGCATAAACTTCATCAATCGATGGAATGGAAAGTGGAGATGACATTGCTTTTTAACAAAGCACAAACCTAATGGCTTTATCACGTCAAATAAATAGTGAATCAAATCGACACAAACGTTATCATTTAAATAGTCAAAATGTAACTTTTACTTGTTTTATTAATGACATCAACATTTATTTATCTTATCTTTGTTTGCTTCTTCTATTCTTGTTCAACTATTTTAAAATAATTCGTTAACCGGAAAAAATGATTTGATTTAGCAGCGGTGTGTAAAGACTGAAGAACAAGAATAGCTCCTCAGTTCGTCTACAGTTTCTTCAATGTTAAAATTCATATAGAATACTATATCCACGATAGCTTTTACTCTTACATTTGGTTTTGCCAAGAGAATTTGCAGACATCAAACGTATGAGTATGAAACTATTCTCTTTTGAAAAATCATTAAGGTGACTGTTATGATTGAGAGAATAGCGAATGATTTTATGATGATAAAGCGAAGGACTAATTTATGCAAAAGACACTGTTTCATACATGCATTGTTCACTTCTCTCTATGCCAGAGATTGGATACTGAGTACAATTACTCAGTATTTTCGTACTTTTTACTTAAAAGTCGTAAGTACAAAGTATTCTTTAGAAGTACAAGTAAATTTACTTGTACTTCTCGAATATACTTAAGTACCGATACTTAGTACAAATTTACTTAAGTACAAGTACCAAGTACTGATGTATCGATGATCATATAAGTGTTTCAAATGTACTTGGTAATTTTACTTAAGTACATTTGTACTTAAGTGCCGGTACTCAGTACAATTAGTAAGTAACAAGTATTTTCACTTGTACTTGTCCAGTCTCTGCTCTATGCATATCAATAGTCAAAATGTATATGCTATTGATTGGATGAACGGAGCGATCTTTATCTTTCCACAATACTGGCAGCTCCTCGACAGATGAAGAACTTCTACTTCTCAGTTCTTGGACTCTATTGTAGTTTTATTTGTATAATTACACTTCACATAATTTCAACGAAATATACTTGTCGTTGATTCTGAAAGCTAACTAAAAAAATTAGGCTCGTTTAATCAGGAAAATACGAAAGGGTCCCATCTTCCACAAATTGCGATTCCCTAAATCAAATCTACATTTGTAGATAATGAAACGATGTCAATTTTCTGGTCACCAAATGAGGATGTTTTTATTTGTGGATGACCTAAAATAGAAAATACAGTGGGCGAAATGCTGCTTCGCACAATAGTGTCTTGCTTGCCACACTATATTAACAAGCAGCAAACTGTGAACAAAAAAATATTGCACTTGAGAAAAAAAAAATACAGTTTTCATAATGAGAAATGTTCACTAATCATTTGGGAATGATCATTCGTTATTATCAAGTTAGGAATAAGATTAAACTACGTATATGAAAATAGTAACGTAGATCTGTTTGGAGTGAGTCTGGCAATTAGGATGTATATTCTGTTACTTAACACGAGTGTAGATGAGGAAAAAATGTAATTTTGAAAATAAGAAATATACAGTATTTAACCACGAATAAGTCGTTGACTGTAATCATCTTTAGAATAATATTAAACTACAAATTCGAACATAACAATAAATGCATATGAATCGATGAATGTTGTAAAGCATAATAATGAAGGAAAAATATCGAAGATTGCAGTTGTACTTTGTTATTGACTGGTACACGTTTTTTATTATGAAAATTATATTTTTTGTTTCAAGTGAAATCGTTTTGAGTAAAAAAATAACAAATATTCCATAGTATTTGCTTGTTAATATAGTGCGGTAAACAAGAAACTATTGTGCGAAGTAGCATTTCGCTCACAGTATTTTCTATTTTAGGTTATCCATAAATTTAAAAAAATGCCTAAATAAAAATCCGGATTTGGTGACCAGAAAACTGATATCGTCTCATTATTCAGAAAAGTGGATTTGATCTAGAAAGTAATTTGGAGAACCGCAATTTGTGGAAAATATGACCCTACCGAAAATAGATGTCGTTTTAAACAGATCCCGCAATAATGCAATTGGTTCGTGTAAATGATTCAATAACGTTCTTTTCTAATGCAATGTCTCTCGTTTTCTGCTCAAGTTTTTTCACAGACTAGCTTTTCTATTCAATTCCTAAATGTCATTTCTACTTCGTCTACTTCGTCTTCGTTATCTAATCTTTGGTACAGCTGTTGGTGGTGGCTATGCAGCTCGTAAAGTAAATAGCAATCAACATGATTGTTTTCTCTTTTCAAAGTCTATTATTATTTTTTTGTAGAAATATCAAGATATCAAAGATGCTCTACCAGATTTATCATGGATGAAAGAATATGTACCAGAAGAAACTGTTGATAACTTCACTAAACGTTTAGCTGATTTAGCTGATTCAATCTCATTTCCTGACACCGTAAAAAGAAAGGAAAACTTTTTGTTACAAATTTTATTTTATTCATATAGACTAATCTACAAGATCGAGTCAAACAATTACAAGAAACATTTGCAAATTATCTTTCAACATCTTCCAGTACGACATCAGATAGCCAAAATACCAATGAAGAAAAACAACCAATATCAGGTAAATATCTCTTGTATGTGTCTCATTAAAATGAATGCTTTTGTTCCTTGAGTTTAGACGGTGTTTTTACTTGGGCAAAATCCTTCAAAGACGTGCAGTTAAAAAGTGAAGAACAACAAAAATTAAGTCAAGTTCGTGCTTTCATTTATCTTTTGAAAGGAATGGATGAAAATTTAATTTGAAAAATAGGTACCTCAATTAAAAGCTCGTGAACATCAAGAAAAAATTCATCAAGAAATGATGAACATACAAATTAAATATCAACGTGAAATAGATCGATTAGAAAAAGAAATAAAATCAATGAAAAAACAAATTCTATTACGACAAGAGAGAAATTTTAGTGGAAAAAAACACCGAGAAATAAAAGTTTGTTTTCTTAGATTGAAATCTGAAGAGAAATATGTATGGTCTTTGCTGTTCTTTTTTTATTTTTAGAGATCACTCATTGATATGTATAGTGATGTTTTGGATGAATTAAGTGAATACGATACGAATTACAACATACAAGATCATTTACCTCGAGTAAATATTTCTTATTTAGAGAAAGAATCGTACCAGTGAAATCTCCCTTATGTTTGTTAATTTGTTGAGATTAATTCTCTTCAGTATAGGGAGGGAAAGTTAAAATCAACGTTTCGGCGGGTTTCTCCTCAGGAGAGCGAACTGGAATGTAAGAAAAGGTTATTGAGTACATTTTCCTAGTAAAGAAAAATGATGCAGCAACAAGAGCAGACCTCCGATCATTGGAAAAGTTGGTAAAATGGTCAGAAATATCCTATAAATCTTAGGACTTTTGATATTTAACAACGCAGTGGGAAATAATTGTAGTATGTCAACAAAACTTGACATTATATGTCATAGATCACCGAGAGCGACACTAGTTTATTCGGACGTTTATTAAATTAATGTATATAGCAGGTTAATACAGTGATTCAACCGACAAAAGGACATTATATCTTGAAGATGTGTTCGAAAATAGAAATAAGTATTTTTAGTATAGTAGGCTTGCATAAACTTCCTAAGCTATCTTTATACATTTTTGATTGATTGATATAATTGACCTTTCTTGTTTCACAGTCAGCTTACATGATTTCTAGACGCTCAAAGCGAGATTTAAATTTTTGCAAAGTATCTCTAATATTCATAATCGTTATAAACGTTCGAGGAAATCTTAAGGTATAAGTTAGTATACATTTGAGGAACTTCAGTACTGTATCAAAACAATTGGTATTATCTTTAGTATCAAACTGTGTACAACTACGGTTAAAATTTTTTTTATAAAAACTAGAATGAGTCGTCTACTTGAATTTATTCCTTTTTTGTTTCAACAGCAAAAAGCGGAATTCTTTAGATTACTAGAAAATCAAGAAAATTTCACCATTTTGTTTTAATTATAATTTAGGTTGTTGTTATTGGTGATCAAAGTTCGGGTAAAACAAGTGTACTTGAAATGATAACACAAGCACGAATATTTCCTCGGTATGTTCATTTGTCTTTTTCATGATTGTACATTTATTTCTCTCGTTCGAATAGAGGTGCTGGTGAAATGATGACACGTAGCCCAGTGAAAGTTACTTTAAGCGAAGGTCCTTATCATGTTGCGACATTCAAAGATAGTCCGAAAGAATACGATTTAACAAAAGAATCAGATGTAATATATTGATTTCAGAACATTAGAGAAATAAAGCCATTATTAATTTACATTTAGTTAGCTGCTCTTCGAAAAGAAATTGAACTTCGAATGCGTGCATCAGTCAAAAATGGACAAACAATTAGTAGTGAAGTTAGTGAAACTAACTTCCTGTGAAAAATATTATATGCGAAATATTTTAGGTTATTTCATTATCAGTCAAAGGCCCTGGCCTTCAACGTATGGTATTAGTTGATTTACCTGGTATTATTAGTGTAAGTTATTCATGTAAATCCTATACGATTAGACTTGTGACTCTATAGAATTGAACAGGAAAAGTCCGGACTTAGATCTAACTTCTGATTTTATGTATGACAATGTCTTGTATGACATTACACGAAAAAAATAATTCCAGCGAAGAAGAACACCGTGAATTATAGTCTGATAGTGATGAACTGATAGAAAGCATTTCACGTCAATTGATGTCGGTTGCATTATATCATAAAATGTGGAACTTACAAAAATATTAGAAGAGAAATATCAATTTGTAAAAACAAATAGGCTCCAATAATTGATAAAAGAAAGCATTTTCATTCAAAAGAAAAATCTAATAAGCTATTTACTTTTTATTATATTTATATCAAATTTGTTTTACTATAGACGGAAACGATTGGTATGGCATCCGACACAAAAAATTCTATTACTCGTTTAGCAAATAGTTATATGTCAAATCCGAATGCTATTATTCTTTGTATACAAGGTAAATCTTTCGTTATTATTTCAAGCATACATAACAGGAAAAAATATTATATTCATTTTTAAGATGGAAGTGTCGATGCTGAACGTAGTAATGTAACCGAACTTGTTTCAAAAATGGATCCGTATGGTAAACGAACTATTTTCGTCCTAACAAAAGTCGATATGGCTGAAGCAAATCTCCATGATTCTGGTCGAGTGAGTTAAAACTTGTTTTCAAATTATTAAACATAGTTGTATTCTTTTTGTTTAGATCAAAAAAATTCTTGAAGGCAAATTATTTCCAATGAAAGCTCTCGGCTATTTTGCAGTTGTTACTGGCAAAGGTTAGAAATTCCATAGACTTGAACTATTTTTCAAGAATTATTGATCACCATAGGAACAGTTTATTTCTGTATGACCAACACAAAAATTTTCTTGTTGTCGTTGACATTATTGGAATCGAGACAATATAAAATTCAATAGGAAATAATTAAGAATCACCAAGGACGAAAACTTTGAAAAGAATTGCTTTTCAGTCTCACTCAGCTTCGTTTCTCGGGAGCTATTTCCTATCATCGCTAGAAATATGGAGATGTTTCTGATGACTATAAGCTTTCAGATTTTCACATTCATTTGAAGGGATAGCTATATGTAATTTTTCTTGACGATTATATTTTAATATTTCTAGGAAATGCTGATGATCCAATAGATTTAATACAAAAATATGAAGAAGAATTTTTCCAAAATTCAAAATTATTTCGGTATAAGAAATATCTTGTAGTTTTTCTTTTATCTATTTTCAATTGCTATTTAAGCGATGGTATTTTCAAAGCTAATCAAACAACAACACGCAATTTAAGTTTTGCTGTTAGTGATTGTTTTTGGAAGATGGTTAAAGAAAGTGTCGAACAGCAAACAGATACTTTTAAAGCAACAAAATTCAATCTCGAAACTGAATGGAAAAATAGTTTTCCAAAAATGCGTGAACAAGATCGAGTTTGTGATCAAAAAACGAACATTTTCTATCATTCTACAAGTTATTTTTTCATTTATCAGGATGAATTGTTTGAAAAAGCTCGTGGTGAAATACTTGATGAAGTTGTTAATCTTAGTTTAATACCAAGTCAACAATGGTAAGAAGAAAAAAGCGCTAGAAACTCATTCCTATAAAGATGAACTTTTTTTCTTACAGGGAAGATAATCTAAATAAATATCTATGGGAAAAAATGTCGAATTTTATTTTCGATGATGTATTTTTAACAGCCGCACAAGCTGAATCCATAAGGTAAAATCGAACAAGAAAATCCCACCTGTAAAAATCTTGTTTTCTATTTTCAATAGTGATTTTAATACAACAGTTGATGTTAAATTACAGCAATGGGCTGAAAAAGAATTACCACGTCAATGTATTGATATAGGTCAATTTGTTTTATTAGACGAATTTCAAAATTTAATTGAACGTGAACAAAAAAGTCGTTCCTATGATCCAATAACCAATGATATAAAACTGCAAGTTGTTCAAGAATGTCGTACAAGACATCAATGGGATGCTAAAGCTCTTGATTCACTTGTATGAATTCAAATTTTTATTATTTGATTAAAATATTCAAATTTATTTTGTGCTTTTCAAGAGAGTCATTCAAACACAAGCATTACAAGATCGTAGTGTATCAGATAAACAGCAATGGGAATCAGCTGCAAAATTTATGGAAAGTACTATACGAAATGAATTACAACATCAAGAGTCAGAATTGAATTCAAATCAAAATCAAAGTTCATGGCGTAAATTTATGGGATTTCAACAAACAACAATAGAAGAAACATATCGAAAACTATGTGCTAAAGAATTAGAAAGAATTCTTATTAGTCGACAACAATTCGATCAAACAACAAAAAATAGTTATACAGTAGGATTTATTCGATTTCTCGAGAAGTTATCTACTAACGATTCGGGAATAGTGTAAACCGATTATCATCATTCACTACGAAAAAAAAATCTATAGAGACGAGTCTTTTCTCTAGTCTTACTGAAATCTACTTGTAGGTTAGACATGCGCATATTTACGGAGAAAGCATCCTTACTCGCCAACCTCTCATACGATGAAAACGTAATTATAATTCAATATGTTTTAGTTTCGTTCGACTCTTGATTTTGATGAATTGACTACCGTCAAGAAAAATCTTCAAACACAAAAAATCGATGTATCCAATGATTATGTATGTTAAATAAGCCTATATTTCATTTATTTTCATATTTGCTATTGCTATAATTAGATAACTGATGTATGGCAACGTGTATATAAAGTTCATTTTCTTAAACGAAATCTATCTACATGTCTTGATTGCCGTCGATTTTTTTATTATTATCAAAAAGGCATTTCAGATCAAGGAGTAAGTTAATCAATTATAACTATGCATAAGAAATTCTATTATGTTGATTACCGGTTAGCTTGATTGTCATGAAGTTGTGTTCTTTTGGCGTTTAAAACGTATGATTGAAATTACAAGCAATGCTATTCGACAGCAAATATCAAATATTGAAAGTAAATGTTTCTCTCCATTAATTTAAATTAATTCTCATGTTTTTAGCACGTCGACTTGAACGAGAAGTGAAAGAAATTCTAGACGATTTGAGTACTGATGAGACGCTTAAAATAAGTCTTCTGAAAGGAAAACGTGTTGATTTAGCTGAAGAACTCAGTAAGTTTTATTTTATTCAAGTTCAAAGAAATAGTAAATCTTTCGTTTAGAACGTGTTCGACAAGTTCAAGAAAAATTAGAAGAATTTATTGTGGCCTTAAATACAGAAAACTAATCTATTTTTTGTTTGAAATTATTTATCATCAATAACTGTTAATAATTACGCTCGAACTATTCTCTAACCATTTTTTATATTTTTTAGAACAAAATCTGAAAGACATTTTCCTTTTGCAAGATGATTATTTTTTGTTTTTTTGATGATAAGAGAACCAAAAACGAATAATCATCATATAGACCAAATTAAGTTGGAATGATAAAATATATATCGAAGTCTAAATATAGACCTCGATTCTCTAAACGAAGTCAACTTTTAAAGCTTTTTTCACGCATTTAAAAGGCAACTAGAACACTATGTATGGTCATTTCATGTGAAAGTGGTTTCGAATGAAATCAGGGCAACTATTCTAAACTTTCTTAATGATCTACCATAAAGTAAGCATTTAAAAAAATTGATGATGCCTATTCAATCGTTTTGAAATAAAAATGTGTACCATGTCAAAATTCTACTCAGTCAGAGGACTCCCAGCGTGTTTTTTTATTGATCGGTAATTGTAATAGAAAAAATTGCCAGTAAATTAGTTCGAATGATGATGCGAATCACGATGGCAGGCAAGAAAGTATGTTATCAAACATGTATATATGAAAATACAGCTTCAAAGAAAAGTGTTGAGCGTTCATAAATGTTAAAAATAATATCAGAGAAAAATCATTAGAGAATTGTATCCTAAAAGGCTAAACCAATCGAACCTCGATGTTTTTCTCTCAAGTCGTGATCAACGTTCAGTCCCCATCAAACAAAATACTATATGAATAACTTAGTTTTCAACCTTACTTTTTTGATAAAAATTGACTGCTTTCGTTTTATTTACTGTTGCAAATAGAGAAGACGAAAAAAAAAGAAAAATACACAATCAAAGATATGATTAATTAGCCGCTTCCAGCAGGCCCTGCTCCAAATATATTCAAAAAAGAACGTCGTTTTTTTGTATTCTCACGTTGTTGTTGTTGCTGTTCATAAGTATCATGACCCTGTGGATTCTTTAATTGAATTATGTTGAGAATTTGATCACGAAAATGTTCAGCGATTTCTACGGTTGATTCTAATTCATACGTTTGATATACATGTGAGCCGTCAGATTCTTGTTGACTTTCAAATACAAGATAAACACGTGTACGATCTAAAAACATACATCTATTTTATACACTATCTCACAATTCAACATTTTCTTCTTTTTCAATATATTATAATCCACTCAGCGAAGACACTTGCACTTATAGATAGTTGTTTTATTGATCAATTTTTATTAAACATGATCTGGAGATGTCGAAAAGTAAAACCCTCATGATTTTTTTTCTCCCGTCTCATTGACATTTCTGAAGAATTAAGAAAACCGGTAATGGATAACTGTAGGTTAGAATAAGTAGACAAACGATCGATATCCTTACCTTTTTTCCGGTATTTATCTTTGTTTAATAGATTACAATCAATTAAACGTTGTGTTGTTAATGGCATACTTTGCCAGGTTAATCTAGTTGATTTTTCTAATAAATCAAAGCGTACTTGTTCACCGGATACATCAATACGAATTTTAACATGTTTGTTGCCACCTAGTTTAGTATAATAGTCGAAAAAATATGATTTTTGATTAAGACTTTCGTATAAACGATTTAAATTATCTATTGGATCAGCTGTTGCGGGACCATTTTGGACAAAATTATTCGTTGAAACCTTTCCTACTGAACTCAACGATTTTCGACGTTCAGCTGATGGTGGTGTTGCTGAACGAGAAGAATTCTCAAATGAGCCATCGTCATCATCAGTTTCTATATCACTAGAATTGTCATCTATTTTATTGTCAATAGGTCCCGATGGTTTATTCTGTTGTTCAATTAATATTAAATGAGGAAAATCAAAGTGACCAATGGCTCGATCATTCGTTAATGGGGGAAATTCATCCAGTTCACCATCATCATCGGCAATATGAAGACAATATTTGGACGGATCACTTTGACTAAAAATAAAAACATAAGAATTTACTCCATATCGAAATATAATAAAAATACGTTAGAGCTGGCTCGCGATTTTCGATTGTATATTTATAACAAACAAAACCAATTGTTTCCGTTACTGTAGCATTTGAAGCAACAATAATTTGAAGTTTTTGGTTTTGAGATTGGAAGTTAACAGTAAACTTTTTCGATTGATTAGAGCTAATATTTGGCTAAATGAGAAAAAGAGCGGTTGAACAAAAAAAGCATTAGGATAGATAAAGCATACTGTTCCATCGTATTTTGCATATTGGGCAAATGGATTGTGTTTATTTGTTGCCGATTGAATAAGAGCTGTAAGAGGTGATGGATGTTTTAGAGGTATAATTGGTTCTGTACGACGTTGAAATAGAGATGATGCAGAGTCATCATTATTTTTTTCGGAATGATTTAATTCATTGGTTTCTTTTCAATACGAAAGAGAGAGAGAGAGAGAATGTGTTTCATTTTGAATGTGTTTTTTATTACCTTGAGCTTTAGTTGGATCTATCCAAGAAATTATTTGTACTTTTCGTTTAGCTTCATTTTCAGTTTTGATTTCATCGAGTCGACCCAATGTTGCACAACGAACTCGTTGTACTAGAATAAACAAAATTTGATTAAATATTTTTGTTGACAATAACTTATTCTAATATAAATAGTTCGTAAGAAGAAAGCTTTATTACTGTTTATTGTTCCTCATGCAACTATTGATCTAAGAATAATTGAGAAATGTTTACTGTCTTGTTCAATTGAAAAAGTTCTTTTTATTTACGATATATGCAGAGCATTTTTTCCTACGACATTTTGATCTACTTATTTTTATGGAAGGAGAAATCTTAATAAATTTGTACGTTAAAAATGATTGTACCATTTCATGAAAATTATTCAGAGTTTTGAACAATCTTGTAAGAAAATTTCTATTTTGGTAAACTTCACGAACGACGAATAACATAACTAGGATTGTAGGCTGTCAGATAGGAAGCTTCAATTTTGGTACTGTAAATGAAATTTTCTAAATTATAGGTCAATAGAGTACGGTGGTGCACAATTTATTGAAGTAGATTTGACAGTGTGTACACTATACTCAATAGAGCCTTGTTAATCACATTGGTAATTTTGACATATATATATATATATATATATATATCGTAGTTATCTTCACAAATAATCACCTAGATCAATAAATGTATCTCTGAATATAATAAAGATTATTTTAAACAAATAGTTTATGACATTATCGATAAATACCAGCTAAAGGTGAGGTTACTAACAAAGTGGCAAAATGTCTTTGAAGCGCATTGTGACAGCGAGTGAGTGCTACTATTGGACAAATATTTTTTATTTTTTTCCCCTCTATGCGTACTATGACAAATTGTCCATATTGTTCTTGAGACCCTTAAAGGATTGCTTCATTATTTTCGTTAATAGGAGATAAAGAAAGTTTGCTTTTTCTTCGTTTGATAATAATCATAAAAGAAAATAATATATGTATATAGAAGAATTATAGACCAAAAAAGCCATATAAGTATTTCAGTATGCTGGTGCATTGATAGATTTTCCTCAATCCATTTCTATTGTGCAAGCTTTTAGTAAGCAATATTGACAGTAATTTTTATATTTCAGATAAGGAAGCTTTTGTGATTTTTGTTAAATAACATTTGAGCAGCATAGAAAAATGCATAAATAAATAATCTTACGATGATGAATATAATATCCGTCTGTGTTATCCTGAATTAGATTATCTGATCAACGAGATCAGAACTGGTCATCACGATTTCAGACTTATTAAGTAAAAGGATCTAAATAAAGATCACGCCCTACATACCTTGAACATTGGTCACAGTCCATTCGGGTGAATGAGATAATTCATCAAGAATAAAATCTGGTTCTGTTCGTAGCAAATTCAATAAATCATTTTTTTCGATATTAATCGATTTTCTATAGGAATTATAAAACAAAAATGAATTAATGAACGAGAAAAATCATTTTATTTATAACGAACGATTTTGCTAAAGTTCTTCGTCGTTGTTCACTTTCTGCATCTTGACTAATAATTTTATCGCATAATTCTGAATCATCACAGACAATAAAGCCTTGAAAGAAAATAAAAATTTATACAATTGAAAGTAACTATCTGATGATTTACCATGACGTATACGCCTTAATATGACTTGTAGATCGCCACCACCAAGGCTCATTTTTTACTTATCTGAAAAAAAAAGAAATATTTGAAATATAATTTGTATTTCTTATTATACACCAATCGTTGCCATTTCGAATAATTAAAAGTCTGTCTAAATTCAGTTCAATTCGGTTTATTTAATGATTATTCAATGAAAGGGTATTGGCTACTTGAATTTATTCCTAGTCAGAACTTTCCGTCTCTTATTTGAATGACTGATTTTTGTTTCGTTTCCAATGATGACAAAACAACAATGTTACGGCTGAACTTTACTCAAATGAATCGAGACATAAGATTAGTCGCTCCGATGTGTTGTTGTTTTTCTATTTTGATATGTCTCTGAAACACAATAACAAGATTAGTTTGGAGAGTAATAAAAATGCCCTGAACAGAACATAACCAATCGCGTAGTTATCTACAAAAATCAAAAATTGACGGAATGATTCACTTTTTGCTGAGTAATTGGATGGTTGTACGTACACACTTCACTTTTTATCATTATATAATTTACGTAATAGAAAAAGGCGCTACTAGAAGAATGCAATACCAAGTAAAACGCATATATCTTTCAATGTTTATGATATTTTGAGTCCATATATTTTAGAGATACACATAACTATAGATGTCCGTAGTTGACGTATATTCATAGGATGTTTTTTCATGGTAGAATGGGAAAGAATGAATGATTGAAACAATATGTGAACTGTAATGAATAAATGATGAAGTTCGTTATAGAAGAGAAAGTTTTTATTAGCACGAGTTCAATGCTCTCTAAATTCACCACAGAATTATGGCTTATATCAGATTCGTATGGTGTAGATTATGCAATTGTATTAGTTTCATAAAGATCTTCGAAAACAATAATTAATATCATGTATGACTAATGTGTATATGCCACTTTTAACTGATCTCTTTCGTTTCTCCATTATTAAAAAAACCTTTTAAGAAAACTTAAATCATACCATTAATAGCAACCTATTTAAGTTACTTTTTTTACAGACTGCATTTAACAGCTTCTATAAATTATTTTTTTCGCAGACTTCATTTTGTTCGTCATTTTATGACAAAATATTCATCATCACACAATATAAATGATCAGTTAAAAATCGAAGTTAATCATTTTTATTAATAAATTAAATTTTAAAATCTAACCGTATCCCCCTACGAAGTTAATTTCAAAAGCAATGTTTTTTTTTTCTCATGTTTGTTCAATGATTAAGTGTAGCATATTCACAATTTTGATTACAATGTCTCACGTAAGAGCCGGCTTTTTTATCTACATCAATTTTTCCCAAACACTTCCAACAAAATCGTTGCCCACAATAATTTTTTCCACCATGGTCACATTTACCTTTTGAATCACTACAAGCATGTGTTCCATATCGACAACATGCCATAACATCACATCCTTCGAATTTCATAATTGGTGTACGACATGCTTGATTTGGACATTGTTTTGTAAAGGCGAGAACAGTTGCATCTGATGCTAAATCAGGATTTTGAGCGCGTTCTTGATCGAATTCATCGCATGTATAACCTTTATGCCATTCAAATGAATGTCGAAAACATAATTGTTGATCACATGCATGACATGTGTAATATCTAAACAGGAGAACAATAAAAACGAACATCAATATTAAGATAGAATACATACCCAAGCAAATCTCTATAGTTCTCGACAAGTTGTCCGGCTCCACAACCTTTAGTGGATTTACACCAACGAAATTCTTCACTTGATTCAAGATATTTATTTAATAAAAGCTTATCAACTAAATCAGTTAATCGAGTATCAAGTAAATGATAGTATTCCGAAGGTTCGAATTCCACGTTACATGTCGGCATAGGACATTCGAAACGATGAATACCTTTTCCAGTTATACCATTAGAAATAGTTTGTGAATGACATGGAACACAACAACCTGCTTCATGCGTACATTTTTTTGAAAGGTTAACCAAAGTGAGATTAATATCATTGCATATACAACAAGTGCCTTGACGTTCTTTTGCAACACTCAATGCATTCTTAGGAACGACAGATGCAGAGGGTTCTGCATCTTTTTTAGCATTGAGTTTTCTGAACTAGAAATAACTCGATGGCTATAGACAAAACTAGATGGTATTCGAGTTTCACTCGACTACGAAATGCGGTGCGAAGCACACGAGCCGAATTTTCGAAAGTAGCGAGAATAAGATTTAAAAATAAATGATTCACTTTAAGATTCATTACAAACGTTTATTTTTTTTTAATTTCCGTATACGAATTTTGAATAAAAATTTCGCATTCACTATTCTTAAATCGACCATTTTGAAATTCATCACTAGGAAATCTCTCTGAAAATGTAACAACCAGTTGTCTAACAATTTTTTTCATTGAACGATTAATTATTTTAATGATTCACTATCTTAGATCAAATGCGAAGAAATAGACTATTGGCTA